AGTTCCCAATAAATTTGATGAAAAACATAAATTTGCTTAAATTAATTCAATATCTAACTTGTTCCTATCGAGGCTCCACTGTGTCTTAAAGCTGTGGGTCAAATATTAGCTAAAAAACGGAATTGCATAATCCCGACGACGAAAAAAAAAAAAGAAACAGCTCAAATATTTGTGGGCCAGGCCTGCCTTGGCTTGCACTTACTTGTCAGACAAACATATATGGCCACAAGATATTGGCTTTAATCGACGAAGACGATCTGAAGATGCTGCAGCAGCTCGCGTTTCGATTGAACTGACTTGATTTGTGAATCGAATTTCCCCGCTTCTTTTTTTCCGAGGAACACCGAAATCTAGGTCATTGACATAAAACGGGGACTTGCAAATAATTCGTTTGTTGTGGACTCCGGTTTTCGTTTTCTTTTCTTTTTATTATTATTATTATTTATTTTCTTTTCGGAACTTTTGCACTTGCGAGGGGTTTTCGAGGTCGTTCGTTCGGTTGGAAAAAAACTGATTCGACAGAAAACAATTCTCGTTGACAATTATGCAGAGAATATTTTATTTTCAATTTGACACTAGAGGCAAGGCAAGGTACAAATACGGATGATCCGATACCGATACTGTTATGGGTAGCCACTCCTGACACACTAAAAAACTTCAATCTGAAATTCTTCTGCCGCTTCTTCTTGGACCCCCAAGAAATTTCTCCAAATATTTTCACTTTTGCGACAGCGCGCGAGAGAGAGAGACAGGTGAGAGCGAGGTGAGTGAGTGAGCGCGCGAAGAGAGCCAAGACGGTTGCGCAGGCGCAAAGAAATCGAACCGACTGCGACTTGCGGAAGAAGAGAGAGACAGAGAGCGGTCGCGGGAGAGAGTTGACCGTTCTTCTTGCCCTTTTTTAAACTTAACTTTAAGCTTTTCAGGTGATCTTTTTACGTTCGCCTCGTCGGCCGTTCGAAATTGAACTAAACTTGGCCGCCGAAGAAGTGAAAGATTTATGCAGTCGGCGTCAAAGCTGCGCTGCCAAGAAAGGCGCACAAAAGAAAGCAGCGCAAAGAGAGAGCGGCTCGGACACGTAAACCAAACGATCGGATGGAGAGAGAGAGTGTGGAGAGCAAGCCTGGAGGAGAGCATGAGCATGCAACAAGCTTTAATTGAAAAAGCCGCAAAAGAACGGTGTGTGTATGTGTGCGTGTGTGGAAAAACAAGTCGTGGAAAACGGAATGAAGAAGGAGAAGATTCAAGTTGAGGGAGGGGGAAATTCGATATGTGGTCAGCAGGCACTGACATTGACCACGACGCTGGCAGAGACGCCGGCAGAGGCAAAAGAGGTCAAAGTACACACATAAGCTTCCCGAGTCTGGTATCAGGTATCTCTTCCCTCTCTCCCTTGCTCCCTCTCACGCTCGTTGCGTGCGTGTGCATGCATAATCTTGCACTTGCCACCAGGTAACTGGCAACGCGTAAATTGACCAAAAAAAGACTTTCGTGTCTAATTGAAAGGCAAGTCACACTTGCGGTTAAGCAAAGGGGGGAGGGGGAGGCGGGGAATCAAAAGCGGGCTAAGTGAAAAGGGGGCAGGAGAGGTGATTAATTCACCACAGCTAACTGCAAGAACTAATTGAGTGCACTGGAAAAAAAAACAGCTAGCAAGAAAACATGCTATTAAATATTAGAAAAAATAACAAATTTATATATTAATTAATAAAGATTAAAGGAACGAAGGAGTCATTTCCGACCCTATAAATCATATACATTTTGTAAGCAAATAAAAACTAACAAGAAAGCTTTCCAATTTGAAATTAACGCACTTTTAGCTTAGTTAAGATTTAATTTAAGTTTTTAAAATTCCTGTCATGCTTAAGTTACAAGTCGTGTAAATTAAGCCATTCCAAGTCCATATGCACTAATTATATGTAAATTTAAAATATACTAGTATGTTGTTTTTAACGATACCCGCTTCATAAATATTCAATAATCATTCTTGATATAGGGAAACTCATTCGTAAATGCAAATTTCACTAGTATGCACCTGTAATTCTCCACGATTCCCCAGACCTATGATACTATTGATAGACTAGCTGTGCAAAGATAGATAGTAGCTGGTATATGCATATGTATAGTACCATAGGTCAGAAAAATCGTGAAGCATTACACGTGCATATACAGGAAAAATGCAGTTTTATAATTATAATATTGGAATTTGCATTGGCGTATAAAACATAAATTTATTTTGCAGTCAACTAAGCACTTAACCAACGACAAGAGAAGCCTAATTGACAACAAAGTTAGTTCGAGACTCTTAAACAAAAGGCAGTTAAACAACTAAACAATTAATAATTATTAATTAATTATTATAATTATTAAGCTATATTTATGTACAACAAAATATTCCCCTTTAAAGAAATAATAGGTTTCGAAATAAACACTCAATAACTAGGCTCTTTATCTTTCAAATATCTTTTAAATCATCTTAAAGATTTTTTGAACTATGCACAACAAAGGTCTCTGGCACATGGTGGTGGGGTGTGTTCCATTGATCTTTCTGCCACGTGCCCCCGAAATCCTGCTAATTGCTTTGGTCAATATTTGAGTTTTTAATTGATTTTGCATACACTACTTCTCACATTCCCACCCAAAATAGGCGAACGGAAAGCGGAAACTGCCGGCCAGATCGAAGAGTTAGCGAAGCGTAAGCTTAGCTTCGCCGCCCACCCCCACCTTTTTCTCGCAGTGCAAAAACTAGAAGCAGAGCCACCAGAAAAGTTTCTTTGCCAAAAAAAAAAACCGTAGAATTTATTCACGGGAAAAATAATACTTGAAAGGGGAGAGGTAGTGTGAGGCTGAGAGAAGAGACCCATTTGCCTACTTTTAGGCTGAGCAAATGAATTCCAATCTGACCGGAAATGAAGCAAGCATAAAACAAAAGTTTTCCTTTCCTCAATGGCAGGCAATATTCACATTAAATGGGATGGAACAGAACGGCTGTAGTTTTCCGTAACTCAAACCTATATTTTTCGTGGAATATACACTAACTTGGGTTCCCTTCGAATGCTATTAAAAAGAATTCACTTTTTCTGAAGTTGTTTTCGAATTTTTTGCTTTTTCCATTGATATAAAAAAATAGCACAATATCCTTAAAAAGCCATCACTTTTCCTAAGTTTCCATTTGATGCAAGGATGTGTTTTGCTAGAGAACTAATATTCCATAAGCAGGGACAAGGTTTCCTCAGTCACAATCATTCAAGTGTCACACTTTTGGGGCTTAATATATACACCCCCTCCCACTCTCAGACCCATCACATTTTCCACCCACAGCTTTGCTCATTTTTATTTTTTTTAATTACACAAAGTTACGGCATTAGATGGCGCCCTGTTGACAGGACCTTCTCCCTGGCTCGTCCTCGTCCCCGTTTCCCCTGGTCCCTTGTCCCTTTTCATTTTCCCATTTTCTCGGCTGTGAAATGGCAAACACTCACACACATGGTCACAATGGGAAATCGACGGGGCGGTGGTGGGGGCGCTCTCGGGTGGTTTAAGGTAGACAACAAAACGGGGAAAATGACATAATGCACTTGAAATGTTATCGCCTCGCTGTCGAGTGCAACAAATACACTAGCACACACAAAAGCACACTCGCACACACACACACACACACACACTGATGGAAAATCTTCGATTATATCGAATTACTATTAATGGAAAGCAATTAACCACGGTCAGGTTGTCAGCCTGACCATTCATCTTGAAACATACTTTCGGGCATCCCGGGCATGGCCACTTGCGGCCAACCCCTTGTGAATTTTCCCCAAAAGTTTTCCGGGCGCGATGCCACACACTACTCACACATCGTATAGTATTTTCTTTTTTCTTTTTTGTGTCGTGTCAACTCAGTTGGCGGAACTTTCCCAGCCCTTTTCACGCATTTTCGCAAACATTTTCACCGTCTATCGAAATACACCGGATTAAGGAAATTTTTCTTAAATTTTTGTTCGGATTTTTTGTTGGAGGAAACTTTAGAAGTCGCGTCTCGACCGCCTTGAAAATCAATTGGAAAATGCCTGGCCTGTGTTTCATTTCATTTTCTTTTCTCCTCCCAAGCTCCCCGAGATTATTTCACGCGCCTGCTCTCGTTTCGCAGGAGAGATACAATATTGGAGAAGTTGAGAGAAATCAAAAGAGAGACTTCAGGCTCGCTCTTTCGCTGCCATTTTTCTGCTACTACTATTTTCCTGGGCGTCTGCCGGCTTTTCCTGGGGGTTGTTGGCTATTGCCAAGCTTATATTATATAATGTGCCCAACCAGCTGACTCAACAAACTCTCTGTCAGGCCGATGGATGTATCAGATAAGATAGCTATCCCTATCTATGGGGTTTTATCGATCTAATATTAATATTGGCTGTACATTTATGGGCGGCTGCTTATTTAAGTAATTTTCTAGGGGAATTCATAATTTTATGGTGCATAATTTTAGGCTGACACATGGCAAACAATGCTACTCTCGCCCACTCTGTCTCTTTTGCTCGATGGATTTCTCTTTGCATTTTCCGCTTAAAGCTCGACTTGCTCTCTCCCTATCTCTTTGGCGGAAACATAAAGCGGAAATGTCAGATTTTCTGCTAAATTTTTTACAACCATCGACGCCAAAAAGCAGCGAAATTCTCCGGATGAGATAATAAACCCAGCGACATACATTTTTTTATGGGCAATGTATTTGCGCGGGGGGCGGTGTTGAGCTGAGCACAGGGGCTGCTTCTAAAAGGGGTCTAAAAATAAATGTCAAACGAGAAAGCAAAAAAAATATAACAAGAAAAACAAGAAAAAGCATGCTCAAACTAGGCAAACAAAATTATGCTAAAAATATGCTTAAAATCGGCTAAAAATTATGCCAAAAATAAAGGCAGACAATTTGGGAGGTCAAGAGGGGGCCTTTTCCTGTTCGCTTTTCTTTTTCTTTTGCATTTTCGTTTTACGTATTTTTTTAAAGGGCGTGTACGTACCGGCTCCAAAACGAAAGTGAGGTTAGAAACGTGCGTGTGGATGCTGCGGCGATTTGGAACTGAGCTGGATTTCCGGAGTTCCTTGATTTCCTTTCTCCTTTCTTCTGTTTGGTTTTTTTTATATCTTTAATAATTGATTGCTATTATTTGCATCACACTAACACACACACACGTTGCCAGGCATTTCGCGTCGCACTTATTTCCTTTTTTTTTGTTTTTTGTTTCTTGCCTATTTTTCTGTTGTATTATTCTAACACACACAGGCCTTTTTTCGGAGCAAGAAGGAAGTGTACCGTTGTTTGCTCGAAATGCGAAATGTGACTGAGGCAGGAAGAGGAAGAAAGCTTCTGGCGAACCCGGCCGCTCTCTCTCTCTCTCTCTCTCTGCTTTCTCCACCCTCGCGCCCGCACTGGCCGTCGCTTTCGCTGTCTCTTTTACACTGCTCTCTCCTGGTCTCTCCTTGATAATAAATTTCTTTTTCGGTGGTGAGTTGACGAAAACACACGCACGGTCTGGGGGCTGATATTGCTATGATTTTTCCCACCACCTTGGCCGCTTTTTCCTATTGAATGAAATCCACTTTGGTCTAGTTCTTCTTCCTATCTTCTTTCCGACTCTTTTGAAGGGTTCTGCGCCTGCGCCAACCGAAAGACAACAAAATTGTTTAAGGGCAAACAGAGAAAACTGATTTTTCGCACTGCATTGGGTGCCATAAAAATCAGCGCTAACTGCGTTTTGAATTAATCACCAGTGTTGCCACGTAGCCATGTGAACAGAGTTGCCATTCGGCGGTTAATTTAAATTTTAAAACTATTTCATGTAAAATAAATATGCCATAAATAAAGTATTACTTTAATGGTGGACATATGTATACAATTAATAATTAAATTCAAGCATAAAATGTAACAAAAGTATAAAAGCCATATATTTATAAATCATTATGTGTTATAATGGCATTATGGATTATAGTAAAAATATATTTTACAATAGTGAATTTATAATGGTATTTAATTTCCAAAAATTTAAATAATTTCTCTATCTATAAGAATTTATTTATACCAATTTACTTTAAAAGTTAAAATATCTATCGAAAGTTATAATAAAAATTAAAACAAGGAGTTGAAATCTAAATCTGTATAGTATAGTTTGACTTGTAATTATAATTATCTTTATAGAAGTTAAGTTTTCCCAATAAAATCTAGATGAACTCAACATTATATTCGACTTTTCATAGATCTCTGTCGATTTTCTATTAAATTATAATCTGGTATGGAGATAACCTTCGTAGGCCCAAATATTTGGACAATAAGCAAGGTCGCCAGCCGATTGCAGTGCGGCCCAACATAATGTGAAAATCGAAAACAGAAAATACGACAAAAACAAACCAAAAATGCATTGTCATGTGGGGACGGTGGGGTCTTAACTTGTCGATTATATAGACCCGGGGGGCGATTGGTGGGGCTTGGTGGTGATGACGGCTATATCCACTCTGCATATTAATCAATTTTTAAGCTGGGCCGCCGCTGTAAACACATTAAGACAAATGAACGCTGCGACACCAGAGTGGAAATACTAGATGCTCTTAAAGAGGTAATAATTGATAAGTCAAGAAAAAGTCATGCTATATTAATTAGAAAAGCTAATTAAATAAACATTAATATTATTGGTATAATTGTGTGATATATTAAAGATGTTTAAAATTATGTTAAAGGGGATGTAAAGCTAAGATAGTTTGGAGTTTGTTCTTTTTCTTTTGGGTTATATATCATTTCCCATATTATTTCTATGAAATCTTATAGATTATTTTCAGGAAATATTTTATAAACTTATTTCTAGGAAATATTTTTCTGCACTTCCAGGGAAAATATTTGTTGTTCATTCAAAAAGTTCAGCAGGTCAGCTAGTTTATAAATTTAGCATAGATTAAAACCTAGATTCAGTCAGTGAATTACCTAAAACTATAATACCAATGATACCTTATCTTATGGGCCCATCCACAGTAGAACATGTTGGCCGAGCCGCTCGTCGAGCAAAAATTTCATTTGCCACCAACTAGTGGCAACATGCTCGCAAACATCATTTGCTGGAAATCTTGAGAAGCAAACATGGCAACGGACAACGACAGCGCCACTTTTTTGCACTTTAATTGCACTTTTGGCAATTAATGTTTGCGCCTTTGGTTGGAAAATAAAGTTTTCAATTAAAATAAATAAATTTTTTTGACATCTTAGAGCTGCTCTATTAGGTGTTGTCGCTTCAAACGTTTGCTTCAAATGATGTTCGTGCCAACGTTGCCATCCATTGTCGAGCATGTTGTTGCGAACACAAGCAAGATAGAATGATTTCTATTTGTTCGAGCGGCTCGACGAACACGAAATTTGTACGCGAGCACTAGCACTAACGATGAAAATTTCGTCGAGCTCAACATGCTCGGCCAACATGTTCGACTGTGGATGGGCCCCATTATGTGCACTGCTCGCATTTCACTTAAAGTTTTTATTTTACTTAACTTTTGTTTTATAAATACCAATCTGATTCAAATTATACCACAAAAAAAATATCTTAAGCTTTATGATTAAGCAAAATCCGACATTACCCCTTCGAACCGCTCCCTGTTGTAGAGGGTATTAGCGGAGACAAGCGTCTTTAAAGCGTTAACAAACAGATGAGAGACATCGGCAAACAGACAAAAGCCAAACATGAAATGAAATACCCAAAGCCCCAAACTCATTACTCATGCGCCCTGGGTGACGTCGCTTTATGGCCAAGACGCCCGCCTCCAAGATGCCCCATCTTCACCTGCCTGCTGCTGCAACTCCAGCTTCAACTCGCGATGACGGAGCACAAAAAAATGTGAGGCAGCAACAATGCCTCGTCATGGGATCACAAGTACATCGAGTAGCAGAAGCCAAGTAGCACTGACTAAGTGGAAATGCGATTAACTAACAAGAACCTATTCTTATTGCGGTTTTCCTGTTTATGCAGGCAAACAAACATTCAATTGGTGACACGTTGATCGCCACTTGTGGTTAATCAGGTTGAAAATTGAATTGCTAATACTGGCAATTGATTTGTTTGCGGTTTCAATTGCAACAGAGTTGGGAAATGTTAAGCAATGACAAATTATGGTACATTTAAATACTTATATCTATGAAACCCTTTTGTTTCCGTGTTTTCAAATATGCTAATTTAATTGATTACAATTGTTGGGGTTTTCCTCTGAGAGGTTCATCTTTACACCTATCCTATTTGAGATGTTAATTTCCCAAGAGTTTATTTTGTGACCGCAGTTTCCCTATTGTTACCTCTTCTCAAACCTTTTTCCCCCTGCTCCTTTTACAAAAGTTTTCCACCTTCAGTGACTTTCCTTCGCGTGTTGCACAAATTACTGCCAATTTTAACATTTCTTTTGTATTTTTTTGGTAAAGAGCTGGGTCGTAGCCTCACACACCTGTAATTACAGCTCACGTGAGGCGCTCTCTGGGTGTTGCTGTTAAGGCCTATAACTCTGGTTTCAGTATCTTCCACATTTTTGTGTTGTTTTTGGTTTGTCTTACCTGACATTTTAACCAGGTCAACTGCAATTGAACCCGTCGGAGGGGAAACGAGCTTAGAAAGCTCGGAAATCGGATGCGGATCGTCTTTAAGTCGATGGTTTTGTTGTACAAAAGAAAAACCCTCCAACTCATTTGCATTTTTGCATTAGATCTATTATTAAGATATCTAACAAAACTCAATTAATAAAAGTACTTTGCCTAATTAGACAATTAACATGATCGGTAAACACCTCATTTAATCAACTGGTGATTTTCCTACCTTATAATGTAATCGGTAAACACCTCATGCAACTGGTGATTTTCCTACCTTATAATGCAATGCCCTCATTGAAACTCAACTCGAACTCATCAGAATCAGCAAAATATATATGTACTTGGCCGTAATAAATTGGAGATGTCAGCAAACTATTTCGTGTGCTGGTTAATGCAGGGAAATGAATATGGTAACAAAATGAAATGTTGCACAATAATTTAAGGGAATTTAAACTTTTTTTGGGGTGGAAAAATATATGCAAAAAAACAGATAGGGTCTGTCTATAAAAGATACTTTTCCTGTATGGAGAAAAATAGATAACAATTTGCAATTTGTTTAATATATATTTTTATAGACCATTAAACCTTAGCAAAGCATAATAATTAAAGTTTTTACAACAGGAACTGAATTGTTAGCCGTTAAAACATAGTAAGAAAAGACTATTAAAAACGATTAATATTATATAAAAAGCTTTAAAATAAATATATAAAACCATATAATGGCAAGGCGGAATTAACAACTAAACTTATAAGAAAAACTTAAGATGCATTTGAATTTTTTGCAACCCAACAAGATTTTTCTCCAGAAATTTCAACAATTAATGGTTCAAATTAATGGCGGCATTTCGTAAACCCTTAGCATTATTTTATTGAGATATAATATGCATAATAGAGTAATTTTAAAATTATAATAAAGACAGTTACAATATAAACCGAAATTGGAGTTTCTAAACTAGAAAATGGCCAATGAATGATAGCATTAAATGAGCCACTTTAAGATGATTTTCGGTGAATATTTTAAGAGCCACTATAATTCAATGTGACATTTGATTTTGTGCTTTCTGTTTGATGCGCGTATTTATGGCTCACTCGGAAAGCCGTAAAGACATTGCCAGATCCACTCAAAAGATACCACGCACTCGTAATAGATCCAGCAATAGCCACAATTTGGAGAGTCAGCTTTCTCGGTCTCAGTTACCAAAAAGTCAAAGCCAAGTCGCTGCTTCGCTGGCCACTCAAAGCTTCTCTCTCTGACGGTTTTGGTTTCTGTATTTTTGCTTGGCTGCTGCTGCTGCTGAGTTTGCGGGTTTTAGTTTTTTGTATTTTGTATTTTTTGTTTCTCCCATTCGGGCCGGGCCTGGCTCTTGATTATTTTCTGTTCCGATTTTCATTACGTGACCCGAAGTCTTGGCGAGCTGAGCTCAGGAACAACTCGGCACTTCGGAGACTTAGAAGCTCCGAAAGACTCAAGTGAGTGAGTGTTTTTTATTTCAGCAAATAATTCCCTCCCCAGAGCTCCGTGTTATAGGAGCTCTCCATAGAGACTGGAGACAGTCAGTCTTCAGTGAGCGTGCGTCGGCATTGGCAGCAAGTTGGCTAAAAGCGGATCCGATCCGATAGATACCGTTCCACCACCACCTCCTTCGCAGTGACCACCCTCTTCCCCCACCGATCTCCTTTTTGGTTAGTCAGTTATTGAGTTTGGTTTGCACTTCGGCTTAGCATCATCTTGGCCAAAAGTCGTGCTCCGAGCGATTTTAATCAAGTGCAAAGTGAAACCCTCACGGGGTGGTGCAATCGATCTCGATCGATCAATTCGGTGGAAGTTATAGTAAAACTAATGAACGAATCGTTTGCCAAATCAATTGCCAAACAATCGGGGCGGAAGTGACGAAATTCTGTTCTGTTTATTATTTTAGAAAGAAAAACAAAAAAAAAAGAAGTGTAAAGTGAATCATTGATTTTTTCCCCCGTTGGCTACTTTGGTTTGCGGAAAAACCAGACGTTGTCTTTAGCTCTTTGATTTTCACTTAAATGTTTGTTTTCATATAGCTTTTCCAGTTTTCCTCGCCGCTCGCAGCCGCTCTCTTTGCGTGAGTCCGTGTGTGTGTGTGTTCAAGAGTGTGTGTTTGTGTTTTTCTTGAGTTACTTGAGTTTTTCGCGACACCGAACTGAGTGAGTACGTTTTTCCGCACATTGCTGGAAAAATTCATGGGCAGCAAAACAAAGCGAGCGAAGAATGTTGTTTACAATTTTCCATGACCAGTAGTAGTATTTAGTAGCTCTCATTAATATTTTATGATTTTTGTTCTGGGAACTTGACGCGTGGCTTTTTTATTTGGCCAGAGATCTTCGCCATAATTATTTATATATTTCTAGCATCGAATTTTTATGCCGCAAACCGGTTTGCCAAATGTCTGGAAATTCAAATAAATAAAACTACAAATCAATTGTCAAAATTTAAAAAGCCCTAGTAACAAGCCCTAGTTTCCTTAGTCTGCCATTCAAAGGAATTCCAAATCTAATATATATAGATTTGTTATTTTTCTATTAGAATAACAAGCTTAAAAAATACTGAGATTTTTTACTTTGTATAAAATATAACAAGCTAAAAACATAAAAGCCAAGTAACACGATGCGTTAAAGTTCGTTGCCTAAGTCTTTTGATTGCCATTGAACGGAATCTCAATTATCTCGTCAAACTAAAAGGTTCAATCAGCCCGCTTTGTTTCTGTTTATTTTCTGTGTATTTTTTATATTGGGGATTTCAATGTTAAGGTCTATACACACACAGCAATTTAATGCTAATGCCCAGCCCAAGTGCGATTTGTTCGCTATGCTTTTTTCTCTCCCTCTTGGGTTTTTTTTGTTTTTATGGCGCATTGAATCGCACACACCTCGAGTCACTCCTCCCTCTCGTTGTCGCACAAGGTGTCCATGTGCCTGGCATAAACAAAACAAAATTATTTGTTACACATTTGGTTGCCAAGGCGGAAATATTTATACAAATAGTATAAAAAAATCAGGCAAAAATGCGATCAATTCGAATGGCATCGGATTCGTATTGAATGGAATAAAATCAAAGCATAACAGCACATGAAGAGAAATCAATGCTGGGGACGAGATGAGAGAGATCTGTTGTTCATCGTAAAATAGAAAGTGACCAAAATGGATCTTTAGTCATAAACAAAACCCAAAAATTCGTCACAGTTAGAGGATACCCTCACAGCTAAACAGAGTCTCTCCGCTAATCACTTATACCATTCGCTCATTAGGGTCTAGTTTTTTTATTTTATTTTTTTGCTTATTTATGCCTAGGGCTTGAATTTGATATTTGCCATTTAGAGAGGCTGCAAAAGAAATTTACCAAATATTTAATATGCAGATGGAGTATATATATATATTCCAACGCTGGGTTTCAGTCATTTGTCTAAACAAAAAATTACGAACGAAGCAAAACGCAGACGTAGCAAAATTATGCAAATCTTAGGGCATATAATGGCCACGGGTCTATCTCTAAATATACCCATACAAAAGTATTTATTTATATTTAAGTATATAGTGCCCCATGTGCTTTTTCCTTTAAAAATACAAAATAGAAGATGAGTAATGAATAAGACCTCTTTCCAAGCTCGATAAATTGCATTTTGCATTGCGGATTAAAAAGGCAGATAAAAGATGTTGCAATTTTGTTGTTTTTTAAAATGACACTACAAAAAAAATTTGATTACTTTTATGCTTCAGCTAAGAATATTACTTTAAGGACTTCCTGAAACAGTTAAAATTCACATATTCCTATGGATTCTCTATACCCCATAACTTAAAGCAAAGCTCAATAAATCAAAGTAATATATCATTAAGATTTGAATCTTGAAGCATACAAGGTCTTTGGCCCAAATTTAGAATAAACCCAATAAACCAATGTCAAGTTCAATGATCTGATCTGATCTGATCGGAGCCCTTCAAAGCCATTAATAACTCAAGATGTCCATCCCGAAGCGAAAACCTGTTGGTCACAAAACCAACGAAAAACTCCAAGAAGCCAAAGCCAAAAGTATTACAAATGCGCCGTGAAAATATGACAAAAATGTTGCTGGGCCAGGCCAAAATGGCGATGTGTTGAGGAGACTCTTGGCTCCAAGATTGAGGAAATGAAATGCAAATCATTTGGATGGGGGCCAGGCCAAGAGCAAAAGACAACCGAAACCAGTTAACTTCGTTTAGTTCAATGCTGACCGATTGATGGGCGGCATTCTGTCTCAGATCCCAAGAATCGCTAAGGCTCTCTCGTTCATAATTTGCATAATTCTGGATACAGCCACATGGCAGACTTTTGTCCGAAAGCGAAATCCAAAAAAATGTGTCGAGTCAGTGCCTTGGAAATTTGTTGAAGGGAAAAGCCAACGAAGGTTTCTTATTTTTGCGGGGCTGTCCGACCTGTCAGTTGGCCAATTACAAGCGAATCAATTAGCGCTTGGGTGTTAGACCACAAAAAAGAGAGAAAACACAGAAATGCGCAACTATAACATCTGAATTTTTGTACCGACTTTGAAAAAGAGAGAAAAACGATTCATCTGCATACGAAAACACGCAGCAAGACGATCGACGATCTCTAGAGATCAACAGCGATCTGACCGTGACCGTGCATTTTCATTAAGCCAAGCATTCCGGCTCCAAACTCCAAATATATATATATGTGGACAAATATTTAGATAAATATTGGTGGGCCTACAGATCGCCACCATCTCCTCCTCTTCGAATGGACAACTCCACTCAAGATCTCTGCAGCGGGCGGCCTTGACACAAATTTGGAAGCGCCGATCGAGTCACACGAAAATGTTCAAAATTAATCTCTCCTCCAACAAATTGTTACGCATTTCGTTAATTATCTTTTCCACCTGTGTACACCTGTACAATGAGCTTGGGCAACGTGCGCCGAACGCTCCGTGTGAGATCTAACTACATTGGTTATACCTTGGTTTGATTTCTTTTTTATTTTTGAGTTTCTATTTTTTTTTGTCGGATATACGCGTCATTTGCCATTAATTAGTCGAGCTATTGATGGTTGTGACTTTGGTTCGGAGCGAACAAAAGGCGGTCTTGTGAATGGGTTTTTGGCAGTTGGCAGCGGGAAAGTACAGTTAACAGTGTTGGGCAACGGCCATGAGAGTTGCTTCGAAAGTGTGGCGGCATCGGGTCGAAAGTTTCTTTAAAATGGTATTAATTACCCTTGAGCTTAGCTTAGCCGCTCTAATCAATTTTGTTGATTTGTGTAAGAGGTTAATTAGAGTTAATTATGGGAAAGTTTAGGTGCATAATGCACAGGAAATTAACGATTAACTAAGTAGTATTTGTAAACCATAATATTCTTAAAAAGCAGTGTGCCAAAGGGTGTAATGATGAAGAAAACTTCATTTCCTATTTGCAGTCATGAATTATATGTATTTGCTGGTAATAACTGCTTTAGAAGGTGGGGCAACACCGTTCTAGCTTAAACTGTAATTACAGGTGACGTTAGATTACCTTCCTGGCATTGTAAACAAAAATTAAACGTTTTATTTGCTTGTAAATTAGGTTCCCAGAAATAATTACCATTTACACTTTTAATTGTTAACTAACAAGGCAAACTTTTTCTTCCGGTGAATAAGCCAACGGAAAAGTAACAGAAAAGTGGGAAAACTTTCCCTAAAAATTTTTATATATACCCTGGCAAGGATAATAGAATTTTAGTCTGTAACGCTCTAAGGAGTCGTTTCTGACCCTATAAATTATATAGATTCTTGATCAGCATCAACAGGCGAATCTTTCTAGCCATATAGGAAAGACAAATTTTTGACCGATTTTTTCACAATTTTTTAAGGGTTACATCGTTAAATGAAAATTTAAAGTTTTTACTTTTAAAAGTGAGTACGCTTAACCTTATAAAAACTGACATAGAAAAGCTTTCTGAATTAAAAATGAAGCATTTTTGGCTAAGTTATGCGTTTTTTAAATTTAGATTCGACAAATTTGTCATATAAAATTAACATTAAATGACGATTAAAAACATGTGGGTATTTTAAGCTTAGTTATTCGGTTTCGGATTCGATCTTCTAATTCAATTGCAAAACTGTAAGGGTAACTTTGCTTAGAACCAATTTTAAAATGTCATGTTAATTTTGTCATAGCTCTAGTTTAAAATTTGTTAATCACGAAAGTGAAATAAAGAAATGAAATCTCTTTGAAACAATTTACTTTAATGACAAAATTGAAACTTACATTGAAAAATCGGTCCTTAAAAGTAAAATGTTATAATTTCAGTAGGAAATAATAATAATATTAATATCTTTACGTCCATTGTTTCGTAAACCATATTGTTTAATTGCATTTGTCTAATAAATTGTACATTTCGGTAACAGCGGTGGTATCCTAGCCTTGGACGATTTTTATGTCTATTTAAAACAAACTGCAATCCTTTAATTTTCTGTTACCAAAATCTTCTTCTTGGCCTGAATGCAATCGTCCAACAAGGGCTTGTTTAGGTTGTCCATATGGAAGCTAGGACCTGCCACCTCGGACAGGAAGTTAAGTCGCCGCAGGTGACTGTTGACGGGTCGGCGTGAAATCAAAGGACGAGTCCTAATGGTCATCTTGAAGCGCGGTGGCTCTGCAGATTTGCGTTCACGTTTGCGTTTGGGCTTCGTCTTTTTGGGCTTCTTGGGAATGGCACGGAGTGGCTTTGGCATTGGTGGGGCGTTGTCCAGTGGCTCCGACTGGGTCTCAATGGGATGCGGATTAAGGGCGGTCTGGTGGTAGCTTCGCCTCTGACCGTCGCGTGTATAGGATGGTGGGCGGACCGAAAACTTCTTGCGGCGCGAATGGTGCTTCATCTCCACATTGGTCTCTGCCTCCTGGTTGTTGGGACAGGAGTACCAGGAGTGCCAGTATTGTGATTCTATGTCCTGATCGCGTTTCTTTTGCCAGGACTTTGAGGGCCGATTGGGATCATAGACCGGCGAAAGGTTTCTGGCCTTCCATGCCTTGTCTTCCGCTTCCGCTTTCGTTTCCGCTTCCGAATTGGACCTATCTTCCTCCGCCTCCGCGGTGGGATTCTGCGTTCGCCAGTCCTCCTCTTCAGCCTCTGGTTTCTTCTCAGCCTCCATGAGCTCCATGAGGCGTCTTTGTAGACCGGTGTTTTTGAGCGGGCGGCCATCACTCCAGCCTTTTAGCCGCCAGTCTTCCTCTTCGGCTTCTGGGCTCCAGCCTTTCACTCGCCAGTCCTCTTCTTCAGCTTCGGCCCTAGGGTTTTTTGAACGCCAATTTTGCGCTTTTGCCCGCCAGTCCTCTTCTGCTTTTGGCCTCCGGAATTTAACCCGCCAGTCCTCTTCCTCAGCCTCTGCCCTCGGGCTGTTCACCCGCCAGTCTTCTTCTTCCGCTTCTGGCTTCCGGGCTTTTATACGCCAGTCCTCTTCTTCCGCTTCTGGCCACCGGGCTTTAATACGCCAGTCCTCTTCCATTCTCCCTTTGATTTTTCTCATCCGCCAGTCCTCTTCTTCCGCTTCTGGCCTCCGGGCTTTTATACGCCAGTCCTCCTCTTCCGCTTCTGGCCTCCGGCCTTTAATACGCCAGTCCTCTTCCATTCTCCCTTTGACTTTTCTCATCCGCCAGTCCTCTTCTTCCGCTTCCGCCCTTGGACTTCTCACCCGCCAGTCCTCTTCTTCCGCTTCCGCCCTTGGACTTTTCACCCGCCAGTCCTCTTCTTCCGCTTCCGCCCTTGGACTTTTCACTCGCCAATCCTCTTCTTCCGCTTCCGGTTTTCTTTCGGCTTCCATGAGCTCCCTGAGACGTCTCTGGAATGACAAGCCTCGGGGTTGATCCTTCATATGCCAGTCCTCAACTTCCGCCTCCGCTTCCCCATATCCTTTTTTGTCCACCAGTTGTCTTCCGCCTGGCCGGTCGCCTCCTTTTCCGCTTCCGCCCTTGGTTTTTTTGTGCGCCAATGTGATCTTTCCGCATCCTGGTCGGCGTCATACTTTCCCATCAGCCTCTTCATGCGCCTCTCGAACACAGATTCCTCTGCTTCCGCTTTTGTTTCCGCTTCTGCTTCCCCCATTTGCTTTCTTACCCACCAAGTCGTTTCCGCTTCCGCCTCCTTTTCCGCTTCCGATTTATCCTGATATCGCTTGAAGTCTCCCTGCCGATCAAGATCCTTATGATTCATATTTGCTGTCAGCTGTTTATGGTTATCGGGACGGTATGTGATGCCCGATAAATTGATTTCCCTCTTTACCTGCGGCCGACTTTGCCATAGTCGGCGGTTCATCTCGATGATCTCCTTCTGCCGGTTCTGATGCTCGACAGGATCCTGCATAATGACACGCCGCCGCATATCTGTGTTTTCCTGATCGGGATTAGGATTGAAGTGCTTTTGAACCCGCTTCCGGGCCTCCATGCGACGCTCCAACCGCTTCTGGTCATACTCCTGCTGATTGTAACGATACTTATTCTTTGCCATATACAGGCGGTCATTGCAATGGGACTCATAACCGATATCATTCAAGTTTTCTGGGAAATCCGCTCGCCAAGGATTCTCGCGCGGAAGGCCGGCTTCAATACCCGCCTTTTTGATCGCATCGATTCGGGACTGGGTCAGATCATCAAAGGTATATCGACCGGCATAGTAACGCTTCTGTAGACAACGGAAATTGGACCCATTTCGGTGTAAGCCGCCAATTCGCCAGTAATATGTCGCACCCAGTCGTCCGACTTTGAACGTCCTACTCATAGTGCCAAAAACGGTGTCCGGGATGGGACAGATACAGTTAATTTTCGTAAATCCGTACTCAAAATTTGTATTGACCAAAACTGTAAGGATGCAAAAAATTTTCAATACCGAAAAAAAATTAACCAAAAAATTTTGTGAACTGAACACTTTGGAGACTAGAAATACTATGCATAGACGTATACCTAGTTGGACTAAAAATGAATGAAAAGTCTATGGTTTCTCTGATAATAATGTGAAAATGAGTCAGTGAGTCCAAGGCCTACTAACTAGGCCTCGAAAGAGAGTACTTAAACGGCCCTTAAAATGCAAATATTTTACTTAGAAAACCTTAATTTTGTATAATCATTTTTATAGAGTTAATCAATTTTTTAAAGGCACACATATATTCCTTATTATACTTGATTTCATGGAAGAATTTCCATAGTTAGCATACCTATAAAATATCTCCCAAGCGGTCTGCCTTTGAAGTATACTTCACATCGTACAAAAAAAAACACCTGAAAAGGGGAGTTTAAATGAAAATTAAACATGGAAAGCTCAACTTTATGCAGGTTTAGAGCCATGTCTAGACATTAACCTTCCGGTAGCTATAATCGCATTGTCAACTCCACTTCCATATAATTTTGATAACAGATTTATAATGCACTTCCGCCGCCAGCTCAACTTGACACACTGAGGGAGGTGTCGTCTAGCTGGTTTCTTGGTCAAATTGCCCTCGATTGCCGGCTTTTTCTTTTTATATTTTCATAAAACTAAGGCTATTGAACTTGAACCAAGTGATTTCATGGCTCGTTTTATTTTTCTTGTATTTCCTGCAGCTTGCCCCATCCGATTGCAACGCTCAGCAGCAAATTGGCGCCGCCGACGAATCTTGAGCCCTACACCATGGCTGTCATCACGGAACATGGCAGCACCAATTCCACCTCCGAGAACAACAACACCGGAATTGTGGCAAATGGAAAGATCCGGGTGAATGGTACTAGCCATCGGCATGAACTGAGCACGGCTCTTACAATTCCGGAGTTTTTTGCCCACAAAAATATCTTCCTCACCGGCGGCACTGGTTTCCTGGGGACCGTTCTGATTGAGGCTCTGCTGGACACACATCCGGATATTGGTACCATTTACGTCCTGGTCCGGGGCAAGCGCAAGTTCGATCCGAATGAGCGAATTCGTCGTCTGCTCCAAAAGCCGGTAAGTGTGGTGGCATTTGCGGGACACGCCCCCTTTGACACGGATTTTGGGGGTTCGCCCGAGGGTGACAAGGTTCATGTCATTAAAGCCAATTACGAGGTCTTTTTTATGGGAGCGTTAATTTGTCCAAGTTGCCATCTCACCTCAAAACGACCTCTTCCGCTTGTAAGTCTCGATCGTGTCGGTGCTTTTAGTTTCTTTCTTTCTTTCTAATTGTATTTGTGTTTTCTTTAAAACGAATATGGGGTACGCTTTTTGGGGAATAATAATAGTACAAATAGTAATTTTAATAATTTCCTTTATCTTTAATTGAGGTGATTTCTTTTCTTTTTAAATACTGTTTTGAAAGGTTTTTCTTTTCTTGAAAGTATTTCCTGAAAATGAATACAATAAAATAATATAATCCATCATCCGCCTTTAGTTAAGACCTTTTATTTAATTTGCTCTTTCTCCTTACGAGACTCTTCACATATTGTTAATTACATTTTAAACGCATTTTGAATGGCGTAACAAAAAGCTGTTAAAAGCAAATGCTTTGTTGTCTTTAGACATTGCTTACCTGCGAGCACTTTTTCTCCTACCAAATAAAGGCTAAAGTGCAAAAAAGAAAACACTCAAAGCTAACAATCAAAATTTGTGCGGCTTATATGTGGGCGGGAATATTTACCAAAGCACCTTTCGACTATGGAATCATTAATTGCTTACAACAGCAGATACATTTTAAAAAAATTATATAGCTATTAATTATTACTTATTGAATATCTCCCCCACAATAGATTTTTGAAAAGTACACGGAGAAAACCCTGGCCAAGGTCGTCCCCGTAGTGGGGGAACTAAGTGAGCCGAATTTTGGCTTTGCTCCCGAACTCCTCCAGGAGCTTATTGACCGCGTCAATGTGATCTATCATAGTGCAGCCACCATCAAGTTCAGCTCCCCGCTAAGAACCGCCATTCGTACCAACCTTACGGGAACCATGCGAACCATTGAGTTGGCCAAACAGCTGAAGCAGTTGTCCGCCTATATTTACTGCTCCACGGCCTTTTGTAATAGCAATAATCGAGGCCTTATTGCCGAGGAAGTGTACAAGTCACAATTCGATCCGTACGAGATGATGAAGATGGCCGAGGATGATGCTGCCTGGGAGGATTTCAATGATCAGAAGTGCAAAGGTTATATCCGAGATCATCCCAATACGTATACGTTTACCAAGAATCTTTCCGAAAATCTGCTAATGGCCGAAATGTCGGGATTGCCAGCGGCCATAGTCCGGCCATCGATTGGTAAGTCGGGTTTTTTTTACGAATGTTTACACAACCAAACAACCAGTGGTAAGGCCAAGATTATCCAGCCATATAATCAAAGTTTGGCAGTTGACGAAAAATCAAAGAGTAGGACGATAATAGACACGTATAGTGTTTTTATAGTGATTATAACTGAACAACATGGTCGTTTTCACACGTTATGTTGGTATACTGCGTTTAATTGATAGTAGAAAGAAGTATTTTGTTGTTAAGTTGGGTTTTTTAAGCTTGAGTGGGATTTTGACTACTAAAATGTTTGAAGCTTAATTGCAATACCAAATCGGTTTGCTTTTGTTAAAATATGTTTAAAAAGTCTATAGTTGTGACAATGTATAACTGATTTCATGTAAAGGTTATCGTCCTGAAGATAATTCCTAAACAAACAAGTCCCTTAACCTTCTTAACTCTTCTTATTTATTCTATTTCAAACAGTTTATGGCACCTTGGAGCACCCAATGAAAGGCTGGGTGGGCAATGCAAACTCTGGTCATCTCGGCTTCCTGGCCGGTTTCGTGAAGGGAATTTTCCGAACGATGTGCGGAAGTGCGAATGCTGTGATTGATATCATACCATGCGACTATGTGATCAACTCATCCCTAGTCATGGGCTGGTATGTGGGCACACGGGAGCTGGAGCAACCGGAGATTATCCACTGCACCTCCGGGGAGGTTAATCCGCTGACCCTTTCCGAATTCTGTACGATCATCAATGACAGTGTGGAGCGACATCCGCCCAATAGTTTTGTGTGGAAACCGGCGACAAAACTTCGCAATGGTTGGCGTTATAATCTATTTTTCTATCTATTCCATTTGCTGCCAGCAATGGTTTTCATTATACCAGAGAAGCTTTTTGGCATAGGAATGCCACAGCACACGTAAGATGCTGAATTTAAAACACAATTTATATAATATTATTAATATTTATGATATTTTTTAGGGCCTATGAGTACATGCGTGTGTTCCAGAAGGGCACCAAGGCCTTTGACTACTTCCTGGACAAGGACTTCCGGTACTCCTTGAAGAATGCCCTGCGTATTTCAGCTTTAATACCTGAAAGTGATCGAAGACGTTATAATTTCGATGCCAGTCAATGCGATTGGTCGGAGTTCATCGATCGCTGCTTGATTGGCATTCGGCGTTTCTATTTCAAGGAGTCGGCAGTGACCACAGAATGGCATCGCAATTACTGGAAGGTGTAAGTAAGATATCTCTATTTGAAATCTTTAACTGATTAGTATCCTTTTTCGCCTTAGCTTCAATTTCCTGTACTATGCGGGCTATGCTGTCATTTCGCCGTCCTGTATATCGTCCTTACCTTTTCCCTGGGCCTGCAGCTTGGTCTTACGTTGGCTGTTCTGATCTGGGGATTCCTGGTTTGGTTGTAGCCTGGATTCATCAGGCATTGGATTGTGAAAGATTCCAAAAACCTCCCGCACTTGGTTGATCGTTTCCATCCGTAGTTTGTTCTTAGTAGGGTATCATGTATTTTATCTTTAAGTCTTTTCACACAAGCCAAGTACAAGTCAGACAAAGAGTTGTAATATAATAATAACTAACTAACGATCAGAGCAACACTAGATACGAATCTATCTATTCACACAGCAATGCAAAAGTAGCCCAAAACTTAGTCACATTAACTAAACACTAAATGTTAAACTAATAAACGATTTGTACATTGTTGTCATAATTATCCGGTTTATAGTCAAATAGTTGAAGAATACGTGAACTAAACTTTAAATATGTAACTATTATTCAAATAAAAATTATTTTAATATTAAGGAAAATCGTTGAACAAGGTGTTTTTTTTGGGAAAACGGATGAATTAGCTGGAACAGAATGATTCACTAGACATTTGGTTTTTCGGCTCAAGTTACTTTAGTAGAGCTGACAAAATATCAACAGTTTAAATATAAAAATTTATTGATCCTTCTGAGGTCGACATGGATCGAGAACATATATATAGAACTGCATTAATCTCAGACACTCAGAAGTTCATTTCATTATGTTTTTACACGGCACTACCAATTTTACACTTCGTTACACTAAGGTTACTTACTATTATACAGTTTCTACATTCAGGCATTATAACAGTTCAGAAAATTCCGGCAGTTGCGCTTTTAAATAAGAGAAGAAACTATTTAAAAATATTGGCAGTAAATTCCCGATACAACGGATTACACATATACTTTTAAAAAAGTTAGGTAGCATTATGGTACAACTACTTAATTTATATAGAATTAATTTTAATTAAACTTAATTTATATAGATTTTTGTAGAGATTTTTCCCTCCTATTAAGGTCTTAAATTACCACAACAAAATTTATTAGTAATATCTGTATAAATTTATAATAAAGTACATAAATAATTATATAGTGTCAATGCTGCTAACAAACTAATAGTTAATAGTTTTTAAGGTTAATATTCAGAATCTTGTATAGTTTTGAAAGACAGATTTTTATATTTTTTAAAATTGAATACAATATGTTGTTTTAACAATCTGTTCACTTTTCAGAGAGTTCCCTATACTTTAACTGTTATCTCTCCACTTTCTCTTTCTTTTTTTCTCTCCTTCTCTCTTGCTCTCTATTGTACAAGTGTGTTGTTGCAAACTCTCTTTAATAATTAACATTAATATCGTAAAAAGCGAGTAGACGACAGGCAATAAATAACCTGGTTGTATTTGGGACGCAAGTGCACATTGGGCCTGACTTAAAAATTTTGTTAGGTTAATAAATCTGCTTACTGCATTTAAAATTTAAACATTTTTTGGAAATGTTTGAAAATTTTAACGATGAACCCCTTATAAAATTTGGAAAAAAAAATCGGTAAAAATGTATATTTTTCCCTCTGTGGCTAAAAAGATTCGCCTGTTGATGCTGATCAAAAATATATATGATTTATAGGGTCGAAAATAACAGAAATCACAGCGTTTTAAGCCTTTGGCTAATATTATAATTCTCCGCAGGGGTATAATAAACCAGAATTGAGCCTGACTTTATAAGGCTATAGTTTTAAATATGTTCTCGTTTTTAGAGAAACAGAAACCTTTTAGAAAAGCTAGATAAATTCTTCTTTTCTGTTCATGAATACTTTTGTATCTTTTAGTTAGCTTGCAAACGTCTGACTGAATCTATAATACCCTCAGCTAGGGTATAAAACTCAACAACATTTTCGACTGAATAACTGGTTTGACCGACTGCTACGATCGTGGCGATAATGACGTTCCGTTGTGGCGTTGGAAACGATCAACGGCCTGGCTGCCGAGCACATTTCCGTGGCCATTCAGCGGGCAAGACATTCAGTTGAAGTTGTACTCTTGCCGGCAAACGTTCGGATATCGGAGCAATTCGTTGGATCGCAGATCGCTCTCACAGATACTCAGATACACAGGCGGCGTAACTCTCACACGTGCAGTTGCACTGGTGTTTGTACTTTGTTTACAGTCGCATCGCAGCAACAATAACGGCAGCGGAGTAAAAGATACATATGTACGATATATATATATGTATGTAGAAAGAAAGGAGACGAAGCAAACGAAAACGAGGAGGAGGCAGTGAGAGAGAAGAAAATACGTGGAAAAGAGAAATTCCGTCGTTCTAAGCCAAGTCGCTAGTCTGAGGCAAATAACCAAATCGTGCGGCTAACTGCAACGGCTGGCATAATTATTGGCAATCACCACACCTGCTGAGTAACCATGGCCAGGTAAGTGTGTGTTATTGCCTAACTAGACAGCAAACAACGGTGTTTTCGTGATCTTTTAGTGGTATTTTTTGATATTTTTGGTAGCCAGTCTGACCGCTTTCAGCCAGCAGCAGCTTCAGCTTCAGCTTTTTCTCTTTTCACCGCTTTCGGGTGTCATTTGTGAGGTTAGAAAGGCGGTGCAAAGTTCGAAATGCGACAAAAATCTGACAAGAGATACGAATTTTAAGTTTAAGCTCAGTTTCTTAATTCTATAGTTTTATGGTTTGCTAGCAGAAATTCTTTAGGATTGGTATTAAACATACATATGTACTTGCATCTTCCAATGTACTTTAAGTATTGTTTTGATCATTTAAGTAATACCATTTTTGGAGCGGTTCCAGAACAGAATTCATACAGTACAGTTGATTCTAATGCAGTACTAACTTCAATAATAATATCATAAAAGAACTTATGGTTAAAATTAGTAAAGCTGCTGTTAAAGTTACCCTAAAGTTAGACAACTCTTATATAGATCTTGTTAAATGAAATACACATTTATTTCATATCTTTGTTCCATATCCCTAAAACCTTTATAACTGCCAGAACGTACTTCGAGTTAATTAGAAGTTTAAAGTTTGACTAAATAGTATATATACTATATTATTAACTGCCGCTCGTGTCTGGAGACTAATTCTAGTTCATTACGGATCGTTTAACTCGACACTTTCTTTCCCAACGCGAGAATCTCTCACCTGAAGGGTCAACTTAAATTTGCGTCAACAATGGAAAATTTTATTAAGCGCTTAAATTGAGAATAAAATTCAAATGGGATTAACATTTAAATTATTTCGACCTAGTTTGACCTGTCTAGTAGTCCCATGCATAACAAGGTCAATAGTTAAACCGGAAATGAGAGGAAAATTACAGGTTAACCGGAATCAAAAGAAGCCGAAGGGAAACAAGATCCTGACAGGTTGCTAAATATTTACGGAACCGGCATCATAAATAATAATTTGCCCAGAGATTTATGTCCAGGCACAAGGTTGGATGCAGTTGGTAGGGTCAGTTACCCAAAGTCGAGTGCCTTAATGGCCGAGTTGAACCAGCGAGCACTTAAGTTTTTATGCAAGCTAATGATATAGTGGTTCTTAACGCCAGCAATTAAGGAATGCGGTAAACTGTTGCCAATGAATGTGTGTTGCTACTGAATTATGCAACAGTTTTCCAGCGTAGTTTTCCGTTAAAGCTTTCAAGCGTTATATTTATGAAAAGCAATAAAATAATGATTAAACAATGAAAATGTATAAAGGAAATTACTTAGTACTTGACTTAGTTGCAGTACAAGTCAAGTATTCAACTTCCATATTATTTAAATAAATTTAATAGCTATTAGCAATATTATTTATACTTTAACGTGTTCCTAGGCAAACCAAAACTTAATTTGAAACAATTTTCAAGTAGCATTGCCACCATAAATCGCTTCACTTAATTATCCCAGATAAGCCCGTGACTGGTCAATGGAAAATCTAATCTCAGTAGCAGGCAGTTGATTTCGAAATGATAAGAAAGTTAATTTGCTGCAGTCAAAAAAAAGATAGATAGAAAGAAAGATAAAAAACAGCGGGAAAAAGTTTAAGCATAAAATCTGTCCAATGAGTTATTTCCAAATTTGGCTTGATTGGGTTCACCTACCTACTACCTGTTGTCCCTTTCGTTGCCAATCTGTTAGCCACAAAGTAAAGCTTAATTTTGGTTGCCTTTAAAGCAAGCTCTTGAGCTGTGAGCCTGGTTAAAACGATGACTTGCCTTTTTTTCTGGCATGTAAACATACTGAAGCACCTGCAAAAGCTTCAACTGCACACTTTATCACATTTTCTTGATGTGTTTGTCCCCCTCGAGGTCCTCCTTTAATTGCTTAAAAGAAAATTTGCATTCCACTTTTATTTTTTGCATGCACAAACATAGGAATAGGAAATGTTGCATTTATTTGCTTCCATCCTAATGGGATTTGTTATGCAGAAATTATATCACGCTTGGGTAGAGGGGGCAAACATAAAAGACAAGAAAGAAAACACAGAAATCATCTTCAATGATCGTCATTATAAAATCATTTGGCATGACAAAAAAATGTAAAGAAAAGACCGGGAACACGAACTGTGATGGAGGTCATTAAAAGAGAAATGAAGTTGGCTAATTGAATGGTCAGATTGCGTGTTTTTTAAGAGATACCCCTATGTTTGGTAATTCAATCGAAACAGTTGGGAAAATATTGGTTTTAGTACTTGGGAGAGAGACTTCCGGTTATGGAAAACCATTTCTTATCTAGAAAGAGTTATCATAAAAAATTAATGCAGTTTAAAACAAAATCCGAATAGAAAAAACCCTTACAACCTTTAAGATTAACTACAAAACCTAATTCTCTAGACTCTAAGGATCAAAGGTTAGTTCTAATAATCTTAGGTATCTTAGGTAGCATCGCTAGTTATTAATTAACATTGAACGTGATCCTCCTACCACCTTTAGAGGTTCTCTACTCTCTCTTGGTTAGTTTCCTCAGTTCATTTGCAAGTTATTCAATCGCAAGACAAGTTTCCAGTGGAGTGCTCGTTCCAAAGTACCATGAGAGCAGCATTTAAAGGCGACACCCACGACATGGATTTAATGCTAGCATTAACCCGCAGGCCAACACCTGCTAACAAATCATTAGTTAGATCAATATTAGAGGAATCCATACAATGGGCACTTAGAACTTAGATATTCCATGGGGGGAAAACTGGTTTCCCGCTGGACAAACAGAGTCAAAGATGCTGCCCTCTCCCTCATAGGTTTTTATGGGTGAACGAGTGTCGTAAGCAACGGCATTCGCCCATTTGAATGGGCGATGAGAGAAAGTTTGGTTCATCATTTTTTATGAGACATCCATAGATATAGTCGCTAGTAGTTACATAAACTAATTGGAAAAATGAAACTATGTGTTTGCAGCTCACCCATCACAGAATTTTACGGGGGACGCAATGTTTTCATTACGGGAGCCACTGGCTTTGTGGGTGTCACCATTGTGGAGAAACTCCTACGCGATGTTCCCAATGTGGGACACTCTATCTGCTGATGCGTGCCAAGAAGGGCAAGAATGTCCAGGAGCGACTCGAGGAGTTGAAGAAGAACTCCGTGTTCGATAAGTTCAAGGAGCTGCAGCTGGAGCACGTCTATCCAAGATTGTTCCATTGAGGGCGATGTGGGACTGGAAAATCTGGGCATCTCGCCCAAGGATCGCCAGACCCTGATCGACAATGTCAATGTGGTCTTCCATTCGGCCGCCACTTTGGACTTTTTCCAATCCCTGAAAGAGACCACAAACATTAATCTTAGAGGCACAAGGCGAGTGGTGGAGCTGTGCACGCAGCTGAAGAAACTGGATGCTCTGGTCCATGTGTCCAGTGCCTATGTGAATGCTTATCTTACGGAGGTTGAGGAGAAGCTATATCCCTCCCTGAAGATCCCGAGAAGATTATCCAGCTGGCGGAGACGCTCAACGATGAGGCCCTCAAGGAACTGGAACCAAAGTGAGTGGTTAGTTGTTAATTAATAACTCAATCTATAACGAGACAATCTCTTAAAGACTGATGAAGGATCATCCAAATACTTACACCTTCACCAAGCACTTGGCCGAGCACGAGGTGGCAATGTGGCCAGTAAATTCCCCTGTGGCATTGTCCGTCCCAGCATGAGTGAGTATCCTTTAAGCAATCCTCCTACAGTCTCCATAAACTAATAATAAATCTCTTTCTTAGTCACCGCCGCTTGGAAGGAACCCATTCCTGGATGGACCATTTCGAAGAATGGACCACAGGGCTTCTTCATGGGCGCCTCCAAGGGTGTATTGCGTCGCCTTCCCTTGGATCCCAATATCATCATGGATTACATACCCATCGATGTGGTGGTCAATGGCATCATAACCACCGGTTACTATGTCCACTCTCTGCAGGCTAAGAACGGCGGTCGTCCAGACGAGCTGCAGATCTTCCACCTGACCTCCAGTACTTACAAACCCTTCCGCTTCGAGCTGATGACGGACAAGATCAATGGGTATCTCCACGATATCCACTGAACAGTGCCGTCTGGTATCCCAACCTGCGTTTCGTCAAGAGCCTCTGGGTTTCCGCCTGGGTGCCATTCTCTTCCACTTTGTGCCCGCCTTGATTCTGGATTTGGTGACGAAAATTGGAGGCGGCAGACCGATGTAAGTAGCGAAATGATTTATGTCTATATATTTGGTGAAAGTATGCAATTACCACAACAAAAGTGGAAAGATTAGGGGGTCTTTAAAAAAAATAATTAAAATATATTGGAAGCTAAAAGTGGCGTTTTTGCATTGCAAATTATGTTGCGAATTTCGAGTTTTCTAATCATTATTTATTTTTATGAACTTTTACCTCGTCTTCTTTTTTGCACGTTTATTTTAAATACAACTCGCGAAATGCTTTCTTATCTGCTTTGAATTTGAAAATAAACTAAATTTAGGAGATTTGGAGAAACCGAACAGAAAGCTGGGATAATAAATATTATTTAGCTCTTATCAAGAAGATAATGTATACAATATTAAAGCGTTTATTTAAGATTGAAATTACATTTGCCAAGGTATTTTCATCTTAGAAGCTTTCAACTTTTAAAAGTTTAAAACATTTTAATACAAAATACTTTGAAACACTTAAAAAGGTATTAAGTTTCTTATAATTGTTTAATATATATATTCAAATGGTATCTTTAAATACAGCCTGATTCGTCTGCACAAGAACGTTTGGAACTCCCTGAATACCCTGGAACGCTTCATCTTTACGGAATGGCATTTCGACAATAAGCGTCTGCTGGCTCTCTCCAAGGCTATGAATCCGGTGGATAAGAAGAAGTACATCATTGATATTGGAGAGCTTAAGTGGGATGAGTACTTTAGCAATACGATTCTGGGAGTGCGTCAGTATCTCAGCAAGGAACCGCCCAAGAACCTGGAGAAGGCACGTCGCAAGGACAAAATGTAAGTAATTGGTTTGAGGAAATATAGACCAAGTACTAAATCGTATATCCAACAGCCTCCTGGGTCTCCATGTGGCCTTGCAGCTCGGCTTCTGGTATGGCATCTTCAAGCTGGTCATTGGCATTACTGGTATTTCGGCCGCCAAGGGAGCCCTCATTCTGCCCGTCCTCTATTACCTGTTTGGACTGCTTTAAGCCAGCGATCACTTTTCCTCCATTAGTTCAACATTCTCTTAATGTTATTTATGCTAAATGCAACTTGTGCAAGGTTTGGTTTTAAAATATACAAAAAATACAGGAAATGATGTTTCTGGAAAGCGGATATTGGTATACCCTTGCGGATACCAATAGACCCAGTAGCATTCCCAGTAGAACGTTTAAAGTCTATTAAATTGTTGGTATTCAGAATCTACTTTTTGATCTATTTATTTATTATTCCCTTGCAGTTTTAGTCAGAAGATATGTTTTTGTTGAGCATCAATAACCAAGTCGATCTAGCCATGTCCGTCCGCTAGTCCGTTCTACGCAAACTAATCCTCAGTTTGGAGCTATCTGAACATCAATTTTCATATACTCTCACTCGTATATAAAACAGAACGAGCCGGATCGGATAAATATAACATATATCTTTTATTATTATTAATTTGTTTTTAGTTTATGAAAATCGGAATACTATATAATAAACTCCAGAGAAACGGTTGTTAAGTGTAGAGGATCAGTAAGTATCTTTAAACAGTAAGTAGATATGACCAGGTAAGTATCATGAACATTAAGTACTATGGCCAGTAAGTAACTATGACCCGTAATTAACTCTGATCAGTAAGTATCAATGAACATAAGTAACTTTGACCAGGAAGTATATATCACCAGTAATATGTATGATCAGTTACTAACTTTGAACACTAATAAACAATGACTTGCAACTTTTGTAACCAACACATTTCTGAGACTAGCCGCAGAAGTCACTTCGTTCCGGGGATGTTAGAACCAGTTGGGAATCATATGCATAGAGTGGAGATTTGTTTTGGAATAAAGAGCAAGCTATTTGAATGAAACTATACTTATTCGTCTATATAATTTTACGAGTATATATGTCGGAGCATGGCAAATCGGTGGACTATATATATGTATACATATATATAGCTGCATTTGGAACGATCGAGAAATTAATATAATTAAAAATTATAACTTTTTCAGTTTTTAACAGATTTTCATATTACTTAAGATATATCCATTAATTATTATTTTAGAATTTTGGTTTTAATTTTATGAAAATCGGACGACTATATCTTATAGCTACCATAAAACCATAGTTAAATGTAGAGGAAAATGCAAAACCGTGAGTGTAGCTTTAATTTAATATGTATTAGTAAATGTAATGTAACTACGTATTACTTCGTTGTTTTTTAACATTGATATGCATGTGTATATAGTTTATATGGTATTATTTATTTATGATCCAATTGCAATTTGCAATGGTATACAATCATCGGCGTGCCAAGATTAACATTCTTTAATATTTTATTTATTATACTTGAAATTCCAGAAATATTAAATGAACTGCAGAAATTTCAAATTTGCGAAGGCCAGTAGTCACCAAAGGGTTAAGAGACGCGAAGGCAATGCTAAGTGACCGTTGGCTGTACTTTCTGGTATATTTTTTTGGTCGAACTAAATACCAAAATGTTATTATTATTTCAGTTCGTTATTTTTCGTAGATTTGCTAATTTATTTACCAAAAATGTGTAATTAACAATAAACTTATTATAAATAAACTGCCGAAATGGAGTTCTAAACTAGCTTTGATCGAGTTAACACTTAGCGCGCAGTATGAGCGCACTCTTAGACCAAAAATACCAAAGTGCATTTGAAACCAAACAAAGCAGCAGCAACAGTTTGGTGCATGGACAACAACAACGCGCGACCAGCTGGTCCAGTGCATCCCAAAACGCTTTCCCGAAGCCTGACCTGCAGGAAAGAAAAGCCCACGCTTTTCACCGTGACCTCTTTGCCGAATACACACCGAATACGCGGACACTTTTGGGCTAAAGCCATGTTTTGAGCCACCGAAAGGAGCTGATAATGCGGCGTTCCGAACCAGATATCGAGCCATCGGACTCGGATTCCTGCTCCTCCACGACGGACAGCCAGGCGAGCCACGAGCGGATCACCCAGCGAGCGGATGTGTTCACCATCAAGGCCATGTCGCCCAGGTGAGTCGCCGAGAAGGTCCAAAGTGCGGTGATTCTTATCTCTAATCCGGAAATCTTATCTGACCCTTTAGACCCAATGCTGGCCTCGGCGCCTGGCTATGTTTGTTGCTTCCACTGGCCCTGGGCGTCCGCCTGTTGCATTCCCCGCCTGGCTGCCAGGATGAAGCCCAGATGCAATGGATTCTCACGTCTCTGCGGCGGAATGGCCCTGGAAACGCTCTGTTTCTTCATCTATGCGTTTATTAAGACGGGCATCTTGGTCAAGTGCCTGGTAAGCCTTCTGCCTGGAGTGATTACGAGTATGTGCTTCTGTCTCCTGGCGGACACGTCACTCACCTTTGCGCTCTCCGTGGGATTCGTGATGACCGCGTCGTATCAACAGATTTATATTTACACACTGCGCGGCTTCAAGAACTCCTTCACGTATGGCGAGGCTTCTGTTTTTGTCCAGGGACTGGTTCTCTTTGTCATGAGTGCTATCTATCGATTCAGTGGCTTGTTTTGCGACGGATCCTGGGCAACTGAGGATTTTGACAAACTCAATATGATTATGGTGGTTGGTATACCTGAGTTTACTGATGTAGATCTCAATTTTGATCAATTCTCTTCCCCAGAATGCCCTTTTCTGGCTGCTAGTGTTTTGCGTGGCTCTATCACACTTCCCTCGCTGAGGAAACCTGTGTCCTTTTATCTGTCGTTTAGTGTACTCGTGGCGGCAGTCACCTGTATGCCGGTGACACAACCCCTGCCCTTGATTAACCTCATCCAGTTCCTGCTCCGGGATCAGAATCGTCTGAGCATCCTGGTCTTCTATCTGCTGCTGGTTCTGCTCACCTGCATCACTGTAGCCTGGCAGATTGGCAGCACGTCAAGGGCCAATACACGGGTGCGAAAGATATTCCATCTCTTGATAGTGCTCGTCTATGTCCCGGGAGTGATCTACGAGTGCGCCCTGCTGTACCTAGCTACTGGAGTGGCGTTGGCTGTATTTGTGGTGCTGGAGTTGCTGCGTGTGCTTAAGATTCCACCATTCGCTGACAAACTCGGGGATGCCTTTCGTTCATTCAAGGATGAGAAAGATGCTGGCGATATGGCTTTGACTCCGTTTTGCCTGCTCATCGGATGCTCAATGCCTCTTTGGTTGACGCCGTGTCCTTGCTCTGGCCGGGATGTGCTGGCCTTGCTCTCGGGTATTCTGGCCGTGGGTGTTGGTGATACTGCCGCCAGTGTCGTTGGCTCCAAATGGGGTCGCAGCAAGTGGGGAAGTGAGTTTTTTATGCTCCTTTTTATAGGATTTACTAAATAACAGTCGTTATAGAATCATCGCGATCTGTGGAGGGCACCGTCGCCTTTGTGGCCTCCATCCTGTTCGCTGTCTGGCTGCTGGATTACGCCGGATTAATGGCCATGACCCAGGCCAAGTGGTTTGCCACCATTTTCGCGGCTCTCAACTCTGCCCTCATAGAGGCCTTCACCGACCAGGTGGATAACTTGGTGCTGCCGCTGATATTCTACGCTATAGTGGGCCTGGCCTAAGCTGCTTTAAGCGGCTGTACATAGTATGTAACTAATAGTAGCATTCCCCGGTGTATTTATGTGTAAATTATAATTAATTAAGAACAAACTATAAGTAAATAAAAATCATCCGCTATACGTTTAAATGTTCTGTTAATTAACAGTATGTTAGCCAAGATAAGGGGTCTTTAACAGCGTTGTGCACTGCTTTCCAACAGAATGTTAACAAACACGTGGGGCTTGCAATTTCTTTTTTGCCAAAAATACAACATTTAGGCAAACAAATAACACATTTTGGGCATTTCTATATAATGTGCAAATACTGCAGATTTTTATTGTATAACAATGGTCATCGGATGATAAGTTCTTTATCGTCTGCGGAGTACTCCAGTGGTGACAGTCTGCTTGGTCCAGTATTTACACAGTATATACGGCGTTTTTTGGGTGGGTAAAACTAGAAGATCCAGCTTATTCGAAGAGAGCGAAGCCCATGTCGTCATCCTCGGACTCGGACTCCTCCTTCTTCTCCTCCTTCTTGGCCTCCTTCTTGTCGCCTCCAGCGGCGGCAGCGGGAGCAGCATCGGCAGCAGCGACGGCACCGCCGCCTCCAACGGGCATGGAGGACAGCTTCTCACGTCCCTCCTTGATGAGCTCCTCGATGCTCTTGCCGGCCAGCTCCTTGATCACCTTGGTCAGGCGCTCAGTGTCGACCTCAATGCCCACGGAGCTAAGGATCTTCTCCAGATCGGCGTTGGCGGGAGAGTCCTTGCCACCCAGGACAGCCAGAAGGTATGCAGCCACGTAACGCATGTTTAAGTCTTTATTTTTAATCGACACGAAACGTGATTAGCAAAAAAGCACAACTTTCCTTTGCAAGTTGAAAAAGCGAAAAGAGACGGAAGTAGGGCCAGAGTTGCCAGTTTGGCCTATATCTGCTACATCTTTAGCTATATCTAGTATATCTGGTATATTTAAAATCTGGAAAGCTTGCCGCTAGCATATAGCGATAAAAAGCTAGTTTCAATATTCATCTTGCATATTCTACTATATTTTATCTAATAATACATAGTATTTGTACTACGTGTGTTTTATTTAATAAGAAAGATAAATATTCAATTATATTTACTGACATGGTTTTTTACATCAATATTAATATTTCAAAAAAGCATTTACTTAAGAAGGGAGAAGGAAAATGCCAATCAATTTTTGGTTTTTTGTTTTGTTTAAAAACAAATTTTTAAAATAAAATATACTACAATTATCTAATATCATTATCAAATTTCTTACCCTTTTCATACTGAAACAAAGTAAACAATTTAAAAACTTATTCCTGAAATTTATCATCTCCTTTTTCACTAGATGTAGCGTTTTTAAATTGCCTAGTTCTTCATCTTTTAGAGCGAACTTGGCATAACACAAGCATAATTTAATTAGAAAACCCTATCACTATGATGCCAATCCACCAAACTCAAGCTCCGAAAACATCCTCAAATACCTAGACAGCTTCAAATCTTCTACAAAATATGAATCCCATGTAAATATTAAAAAAAAATTTAAATAATAAAAAAAACAAAACAAACTGCAGTAAGCAATAAATTATTTTGTAAATATATGTAAACCAATATAGAAATAAGCCACATGTAAATTCTGTAAGTAAACACCATTAACTACAAACGTAACAGCGAGCTGAAGGCCTATGTAGCTATAGCTCTTAACATAAGTTAGCTCTTAGTTTATAACTATCTGTAAGCTTCAGATATATAAAAAAATACAATTAATTAAGAAAATAATACTGTATACATTTCATGTATAGCTTAAATCTTAGTATTTAGTTTAGCTATTTAGTATTTATTTAGCTTATTTTAGCTATTTTCACCCAGAATTTAGCTAATAAGTGTGGTCATAGCCGGCCACACTGGTTGGGGGTAAGAGCCATAGCTGCAAAAATATCGATGTCGGTATCGATACCACTATGGGGGATGTTTTCCAACATCGATATTTTCGCGAGATAGCTCTAAATTCATGGGCGGATTAAGTATGACCAGTCCCTTTTCTGACTTTTTTTGCTGCAAAGCTTTCGCGCAAAATTCAAATAATTGCAAAAACTACTTTCTGCAAAGTCGAAGGGCAAGCACTATCACTATCACTTATCCACTAGATGTAACAGCGTGGAGACCGCGAACAGACTGAGGCCCGCGCCAGTATAGTGCCTGTATTTATACTCTCCAAGTAATGAGAAGAATTGAGAAAGTGAGAGCGAGAGAACGAGATATTGCTTTAGAAAGGCAAGGAGAGATGGAGAGAAAGAGATACTCAGAGAAAGGCTGACGATCGTTTCTATAACATCTATATGATATAGTCGTCCTATTTAAACCAAATTAAAACCGAAATTATAAATAATGCAAACTGTCTTTATCTTAAATTTGAAAATGTGTTATATAAAATTTCGCTAAAAACAAGGGGCAAAAAAGTGAAAATCTGTTGAAAACACTTTTTAATTGAATTAATTTCTCGATGGTTCCTATATAATATACACAAAATTGTAGAATAATATGAAATGGCTATATCTCAAATCTGTTAGATCATTCCTATTAAGTCGTCCGATACGGCCCGTTCCGACATATATAACTACAAATCAGATAGCTTCAAAACTGAGAGACTATTTGCGTAGAAACGGACAACAATTAAGATTAAAGTTATAAATTTCCCCAAAATGATAAAAAAAAAAAAAAAAAAAAAAAAAAAAAAAAAAAAAAAAGTGATAAAAAAAAAATTATAAAATCTACTAAAATTGTAGTTAATTAAAATTTAAAAAATAATGAATATATTTGAAAGGAATTTCGAAAACAAAAATTGATGTAAGGAATGTAAATTTTTGGGTATTAATAAAATAATCAATAATAAAATAAATAATTAAATTTCTAAATGTAACAAAACTAAAATTAAAAAAATGCAAAAATATTTCTTGTACAAAATTTGCACACTCATGATAATTTGTTTTCGATTAAAACTAATTAAATTGTTATTATGGCATAGTTTTATTAGCTTGCCTAATACACGTATTCCAAATTTGTTCCTAATTGAATGTATAATTTAAACAAATACAATTTTAAGGAACTTTTGCCTTGCACATTTCCAAGCAATAGAAAAGATAATTGCTTTGCGTTTTGTTTATATAATTTAATTTGTTGCTGTATATATAGTTATATATTGTTTATTATAATTACACATATATGTATAAGTGGTTGTTGTTGTACAAAATTTTGAAATTGTATAATGCATTCCTGAACTTTGTGTATCACATTTCGATTTGGGGGACTTTCCGTTTGTCCTCGAGAATCGTTTCACATTTACGGTCATCCGTCAGTTGGTTGTATCATCTACATATATATATATAGTTGATCGGCAGTAATAAGTATATATCGCGACACTGTTTACACGTTTAATCTTACAACTACAAACATATTAAGGTAATTCCTTCCATATTCCGGACCCGGATCCGGGACACTGTAACTAAACTGGACTGTATTGAAAACAAAACTGCTTCTTCACACACTACACTTAAAAAAGGATCATTGTAACAAGAACGTTGCGAGGCCATTTGTGGGGAGGGGCTCAACTAGTCTCCGGGGATGTATGATCCCCCAGTGGTTCCGCCACTGGCCCAGGGTTAGAGCGGCTCCTGTTGGAAGTACTCGTGTTCCATGCAGGCCAAGGCAGAGGGTCGCAATCGGATGTCATAGGACAGCATTTGCTGGTGATGCAAGAAAGCGAGAGTATTAGATATATAATAGGAGATTTTTATATAGAAATAATATAGTTACATTCAACAGATCGTCGGCATACTCGCAGAGATTGGGACAAAAGTCACGGGGTCTCTTTGGATGACGATTGGGAAAGTGCTCCCTGGCCACGGAGATAGTTTGTGGCCATTGCTGGTCTGTGGGACGACCCGTCAATCTGTAAAATAAATATAAATAATTAGATTTAAAGTTTACAGAAAGGCTATTATCTTGCATTACTCGAAGATGCGGTCCAGCTGATTCTTTTCCGAGGTTCCCGGAAACAGGGCCTTGCGGTTAAACATTCAAAAATGATGCAGGCAGCACTCCAAATATCCACGGTGCTGTTGTAGGATTGTGCAAGCAGGACTTCCGGTGCTCTGTACCACAGAGTGACCACCACCGAGGTGAGCTTCATCTCACAGTCATAGGTCTTGGCCAAACCAAAGTCTGCAATTTAGATGACCCTGCGCCGAGACCAGCAGGTTCTGTGGCTTCAATCCCGATGGACAATGCGATGGGAGTGCAAAAGTCCACGCCAGTTAGAAGTTCCCTCGACAGACGCTAGAAAAAACAAAAAAATATATGTATTAAATAGATTAAGGAAAAACTGAACACTCACCTGCACTGTGGCCGGCGACATGCCCGATTTGGGCAGCCTTTCTATGAGATCCGACAGATCCTGCTCCAAGTGTTCAAAAACCAAGAGAATCATCAGCTGGCCATCGCGTTCCAGAAACTGGCATACTTCGAACAGTCTGGAAAGAGAGGGGTAATACACAAATACATCAGTTTGTTTGTGTTTGTATAAGGGGAAATGTTTAAATGTTGAGAGCGTAATACCCAAGCTGTCATAAAATTGCTGGCAGCGCCACTATTCAAGTGGCCATACTTTGGCAATTTCTGGAACTAAACAAAGCACTCCAGACAAACACACATGCACATGGCCTACGATATTACGATCAAAGAGCAAAGAGTTTGAGTAGCGGAAACAAGCAAATAAGAGAAGCAATCTAACATAATGTTAAGCAACATTGTTGATGGCTCTGCTAAAGGTATCTCTTTATGAATTGTTGACAAAATAAATAATTTTATACGTTACTAAATAATTCACTTAAAAATTTGAAATATTTTGATTTAAAATTATAAAAATGCTTAAGTTTAAGGAAAAATAATTTTTTCCAAATGTTTTCATGGCTCTCCTCCACTTATATTTCCTTCAAACCCAAAATACACACATTTGCTTTCAAACAACATCGAACCCCACAACAGCAGCGCCAGAGTTAACATACAGCTGTTGTCCACTCTCTAACATACGACATTCACGCTCTCCCTCTCTCACGCTGTTGATCTCGCCTGTATCGTAGGAGTGAGAGCGCAACACACAAAGCCAGCGAGAGTGAGTGAAAGAGCGGCATGCTCTGCCTATCGATCGTTAGCAACATTATTTCTTGGCGCTATCGAGTCTGTTGGGCGCGCACTCTCTTAAAATTCAAATTTAAAACGGCTGCCGCACTATAAGTTTTTGCCAATACAAAATCAGCGGATCTGTGAATGCACAGCGACTGGCGTCGTTATCAGCGGGGAAAAGTTGAGCCGCTTCAGAGTTATTTGACAGGCATATGTCCGAGTAGGGTGAGGAAAGAGCAGCAGTGCAAAACTTGCAGCGCCAGATCGGCGGCCTATATAAAACGTGCAAAAGATAAACAAAAGCAAAGTGACATTGTAGCGATTAGTTGGGGCGCCACCTCGGCCTCATTACATGTATATAAGTATATGTGTGCAAGATAACACCCCCTCATGTGTATACATATAATAATTGTACCCTGTTTGCTTCTTAATTTTGTAGTTTAAATAAGCTAATATTCTGAGATAATAAATACACACTCACTTGACTATATTGGCATGATCGCTGGCGTTTAGCTGCTTTAGCAGGGCAATCTCCCTTAACGTGGACATTGGCACTCCATTCTCATTAATGCGATCCGCACCTTCTTAATGGCCACTATCTTACCAGTTTTCATGTCTCGGGCTCTGAAAACCGTTCCATAGGCGCCTGCAAAAAGAAGAAATCAAAGAAAAAAAGAGCACACGAAATTAGATCAAAATTTTGCGAATGACGGAATAAAATGGAAATGCTAATCAGAAGTGCAAAGCAGAGAGGAGAGCGTACGAAGGCCAGATAAGAGTAAAGTAAAATTGCCGAAAAATTTCGCAACACAACGGGGGGTGTGGGAGGTTAAGGGGGAGATATCACCCAAGTCAGCTGTGCTGATAAGATCGGCGAATAATGCCGGCTGATTGGGTGATATCTGGCGCAAAACTATTCAAGATTGCAGGAAATATAGGAGCAGCAGGCAGCAGGGAGGCACAGGGAGAAAATCAAAGCACAAAAACAAACAACAAATTGCTCATCAATTTGGCTTTGATTTATATATATAGGAAAATAAAAGCCACTTATCTTACCACTTATCTATGACATATGAACCAATATGATTCTTTCAAGCATTTCATATTCATCGGTTTATATTTAGCTTTATGCTTAAGGGGGATATTTATAAAATTCTCTTTATTTTGTCCAGTTTTAAGGGAATTATATATGTTATTAATAAGAAATAAATATATATTTTATTATACATAATAATTGTGTTGCAAGACCACACTTGATAAAGTTGTTGTATACTAATTTACTTAACCATTTTTATACTGAATGCCAAGCTTTAAAACAATCTTTTAAGTATCTTTTATTATAACTATAAGTATAGACATATAAGCTTAAAAACCTGTATAAGATAATCTTAAGATACGTTGCAAATCTTAAGATTATCTTAAGTTATATAAGTTCCTGAGCTTCTGACGCTATTAAAACCTGATATGTATATAATGATCATATAACATGATCTTGGTTCTGTTTTGTTCTGTTTCCTTTTTTTTTTGCGTGTGTGGAGAAAGGCCGAAAGAGAATAGAAAGAGAGCCAAAAAAGAATTCCAATCAGAATCAAATGCCAGAGACAAATGTTGTCACCGGAAATTTACGAGTATCGTCCGGGACTGATGGACGGACGGAGACATGCGTGGGATACCACGGCAACCATCTATTTTGGGTGACATTGACAGGCAAGGTAATAGACCAAGGGGCACGATCTGGGGAGGTGTGTTTTTTGGGGGTATGGGGTCTGTTTGGTACTCCACACCACCTATTTAGCTTGTGAACTGTGCCGCTGTATTTCGCGAGTCACAAGGCACAAGGCCGGAGAGCTCGACTTTGACTATTATTGCGACTTGCGACTCGTTTTTGCCGTCGGCTACTGGGCTCTCCGATTTGATTTTGTCAAAATACAACAAAAAATCTCGAAAAATTGCGCACAGACCAAGGCACAAAAAATAAAAAATAAAATAACGAAACAACAATGAAAGGTTGGAGCGAAAGCGAATGGCAAGGGGCAATAATTGAATGAATGCGAACAAGAGGAAACAGACAGACGAAAAATGTAAGTGTGTGTCGTATAACAGATGAAATTCAGTGCCCCATGAATGGCTTTACCTTCCGTTAAAAAAAAAAAAAAACCCCTACCTTTACGCCCCTCTACCTGACAATATCAATCATTAACATTCGCTCGGTGACGTAATTGATATTCGGCCTTTATTTACACAAAAATAAACGGTTTAGGAATTACGGACTCAAAAAAATAATAAGAAACATAACGATCATGAAACACTTGTCAGAGCATCGATCTGGCTTCAATATGACTTGCTTATAAGCAATATAAAACAATATTAATACACGTGGCCCTTGGAATAAACCTAAAAGTATGCAAGGAATGCAAGGAAAAGCCCCTATAGAGGGAAGTTTTTAATAGAGAGGGGTTTACTAAGTCAATATTTCCCCTTTTCCAAGAATTTTCATGCTTAATTAGTTGCGGTTTTACTATAAAACTCTACAAAAGGTTCGACTTAGCTGACTGACAGAGTACCCTACAGCAAAAAACCTCTACAAATTAAATTTTTCCTATTTAATACCCATTATTAGTCAACAAATTAACAAAAATCATTAATAAAAACCAGTTTTAACTAACAAATATTGTGTTTGGTTAAGCTTCATTAGTTCTCTGGCTAATAAAAACTTTTAGTAACCCTAAAAATAAGCCATAAAAAACTCCCTTCTTTAGCCCAAGTTTGTACAAACAAATTAATACAAAATCTTTAATAATCCCACACACACACACAGATCCGCAGAGCACCTCGCCAACGATAGGTAAACAGCGCCAGAACTATGAGAAAGCCACCTTTGCAATGACCTATCCCAACAACAAAAATCCGCTTACCTGTGCCAATGATGTTGAGCTCCTCGTAATTAAACGGATCACCGCTGCCAAACTTCTTTGGCTGTGACATTTTCTGTCGCTTTGAGAGTGACATATAGTTGATTTCTATATCTACCGATCTTTCGCTTCTGGATTTGTCACAATTCACCGGAATTTGGCATGAGTAGATCGTTGTAATATTCAATTATGCGCCCACTGTAATAAACGTAGAAATACCGATTATCAATCTGTGCCAAGTTATCGATATATCCTTAGTCGCCTGCGATAGTTTACAGAGAGGTAGACAGAGAGAGAGAGACGGGGAGAGCCTGTTACCGGTTACCTGTGCAGATAACCCAAAACTCGCGATAAAGACTGGTGTGACAGGTGTTAATGGAGGGCCCTCGTAGAAAACAGAAGTCTGGCTATATGCTCTCCTATGCTCGTTCTATCTATGAGACCACACACGCACACACACACACACACAGGCAGGCAGGTCATTGAACTTTGGTTAATGTTTTCGTTTATTTGTACTTTTATTTTATGTCTAACCGATCGCACGAGAGCAATCGCGCTTCACACTAGCTCTAGTTATGATTTATGCATGTTGCTTCTCTCCCCTCTCTCTTCTCGTTCTTCTTCTTCTTTGGCGTCTCCCTTTTGGGGCTTCTTTCGTGCATCCTGTTACTTTTTACAGCTCACGGAATGCTACTTATTCAAGGATGACACTTGCTTTACTTTCCAGAGAGAGAGAGAGAGAGAGAGGGAGACAGAGATAACATAAAATGTTAATAGCTTTCCATTTCTGCATTTCTTTGTATTATGATAATAAAGGAATTAAAAAGGAATTAGTTCGCTCAGTGTACTGCTAGCAAGTTCCCAATGCCCGAAAAAAAAGAACCCGAATAATTTGTTGTTCTTGCCATTTGTCAATTAATTCTAATCGCGAGACAACACAAACAACAACAAAAAATAACGCAACAAAAAAAACATGGAAGCACACACAAAGTTATAGGCGAAAAGGCAACAAAATAACAAAAAAAAAAGAGTGGGTAGATTTCGAGGAAAAGAATTATGAGAGGTGTATAAATCTGGAATAGTTATTGTTGCAATAGTTGCTTCCCGAGTCCCCCTCTCTCTCTCTCTGTGTGTCTCTCGCTCTTCCACTGATAACACACACACGCACGCTTTTTTCACCGTTTCTTCTCACTTCTTCGTTTTTTTCCCGGTGTATTTCAATGTCAATGTTACTGTTTTTTCGGCTCTATTGTTGTTGTTCTTCTTCTTGTTGTTGTTGGTTGGTTTGCAAAATATTAGTTAAATATTAAAAAATGTGTTTTTTATTTGCCAAGTGACTCGCACACGCACACTTGTAAGCACTCTGGCGATCTCACACGCACACATCCAAACATCTCCATATATGTACACAGGTATGTCTGTATGTTTGTAGGTTCAATTTTTATATTCGCCTTTCGATGAAATAATTTTTGGGCATTTGTTGATAATCAGCAAGAGCCGCACACGATCGGAGCACGGCGACGCGTACGAATGCGGTGGGTAGCCCGATTAATTAACAAATTCTCTAAGTTAAAAAAAAACTTTTACCAATATTTGTAAGAACCGACGGCGAGGAGTGTTTTGGTTGCAATAATGCTGATATACTTGGTTCGCTAACGCGACGCTTACGATATTCGGCCGTTACAGCGTTTTCTCTTCGGCTGTTGGCGCGCTGTTAGCTAACGCCGGCCGGCTAACAGCCTGTTGCTCCTGCTAAAACTGTTAACCGTTAAATTTCGAAAGTGCTTGGAGAAGTGGAGTAATAAAATTATGTTTATTATCTTTATTTTTTTATATGTTGGGTTTAAGTAAAGGTTACTAAGATTAGAATTGAACGGAAAAAATATTTTTAAAATAATATATGTAATTTTCCAAGATTTATTAAATAAATTAGTTGTGAAATGTGAATTTTAAATACTTTTTACTTTAATATTTTATAAATATACTTAAAAAATAACTCACAATAGCATAAAAAATGAAAATATATTTAAAAATTTGAAAACTCAGAAAACGGTTTTTGCATGCTTTGTTAGACTAGGACAAAAATAACGAATTGAGATTAAATGAAACAAAATTAAAATAATTAAATTAAATTAAATATAGATTTGTTTAAATTAATGATTAATTAATTTATTGTTATATATTTAAATTAAATAATAAATAAATATAAATATTTAAATAAAAATTGTACTTTTTTGCATTTAAATAAAATCTAAAACAATACTTTTTAATACCTTTAGAGAGTGAAAAATTGTTTATTTTATCTTTGCATGTGGCGATATAAATCATAAAGTCTAAATATTTACAACAAATTTAGCAGACAAAACAATGAAAAAAAATAGAATAAAAAAAATAAACATTTTTTGTACATAAAAAATATACATTGTTTGTTTTTATAAATAAAAATTAGGACAAAACCACACGATTACTAAATTTTTTTATTAAAAACTACTTTATTATTTATTCTTTATTTCACATCATATCATTAGGGAACAGATTATTCATTTTAAAATAATTAGCATCAAATAAAATATTTAGACTTATATTTTATTTTATTTTATTTAATGCTGGAATTGTTTATTAAACTAAGATTAACATAAAAACTTTAAGAATTAGCTGACAGTGTCATCCACTGCATACATATGTATTTATAGTGCAGTCTTATTAATAATCTAAAAATAATCTATTTTAATTTTTTTATTGAAAGTATTAAAAGTTTAAGCTTTGACTTTAATAAATGCTAACGAAATACAAAAATCTTTAATTTTACATCAGTGTTACACTCTATTTTAAATATACATGTAAAATTACATTTACTGCATTAGGTTCACGTCTAAGCTTGACGAAATCCCGTATTTCGATATGAAAATGTTAATTTGTACGGGATTCGATATAGAAAAAGCTCAAACCAATTGGGGCTCGATATCGAAAAAGCTCTCTCGCATCTAAAGGCGCCAAAATTCAAACACAAAGTTGCAAAAAATACGTTTCATTCAAAATTCCAGCAGTTAACACCCTTAAATAATACCCAAGCCTAATTAACTCTGGCAAAATTTCCATGATCTTTGGCCAGAGCAAAACAAATTAGGGCTTAAATCAAATTAGAGCTTGTCCGTCCCAGTGGAAAGCGTGTGACGAAGCCAGGCAAAATGTGTTAATTAACCCGCGATGGGATCCAAATCCACAAAGATGACGTACTGACCGAGAGCCAGAAGTGAAAATGCAAATAGTAAAACCAGGATGAATGGCGCTGGGGAAAATTGAGTTGTTAGTTTTTTGCCTGGAACGTGCCCCTCTTTTGTCACCTTTTCGGGGCGCCATTCCAACAGCCAAAGCAGCCTGTGATTCAGTGCATCCCAATTAGCACCTCAATGACTCGCTCACTCCTCCGCGGAAGTCAACGCCCAGTGACGGGACACATATTTTAGCCAATTAGAATGATTGCATTTCCGATTTAACTAATTATTTTATTTAGGATTAAAGCGAGTTAGTTTTAAGTTAGATTATTTGTATTATCACTTATCACTAATTACTTATTAGGCAGTAACACACTTTAATTTTGTGTCATTTTTAGATTTGTTGATAAAGATCTGGATTACTCCAGATTTCTTCTATACATATTTATACAATTGCTGATAAGGTTTTTATATTTTTTTTTCACTCTATGACATTTGTGACGACCTGTTATCTGTGGGCCATTTGTCTTATTGCGTTGCAAACCGGCTTTAAGCCAAAAAACTAATTAAATGAAATTTATTGAACAAATTATCATGGATAAAATCACTTTGCATCTGTCTAAAAATACCAAAAGGCTAAGAAGAAACCAATAAAGCCAGGTGAGAGTCTAATAAGTAGGGGGAGGGTGGCTCGACTCTTAACTCTCTTCAGTCTCCCAAAAAAAAAAAAACAAACAAAAAAACACCCAACCGGTTGGCCATTGACACGGCCAAAAGTGGCTTTTAAGTGGCTTCAAGAGGGAGGGGGGGAGGTAGCCATCAGCGTCATAGCAATTCTTGATCTCAATCAAGATCAGCCAATCTGCTACTGATCACGTGCGGCAGGCGGCAGGGGGACAGGGGAATGGGAGTGTGCGGTGCTCCAGTCAAGCGTGGCTCATTACCATTACCATTAGCTTGGCTTTAACAAGAACCAGCGACCTTCAAATTCCCCTCCTCAAGCATGAAAGCCAAGCTCAAGTGCCAGTGCCAAGTGCCAAGTGCCAGTTGACAATTTTCCAAGCCTGGCCCCTGGCATAGCCATCGGACATGCGTCATCGAGCTCAGCGATTTGCATAAGTTTAAGCCTCAGCTTTTTGGGGTAACAATAATGAGCGCCATGAAATTGGTTCCGACACTGATCCGATCCGATCCAACTTAAGCCTTACGAGTCTATCTCCCTACTCTTCCGTGTTCCAGTTTGTTCCTCATCTCATCCTGGGATTAATCTCTCACATATCGGATATGTTGATTAGTAAGTGCGTCATGGAAAAAGTTTAATTAATTCCCACCCCAAAACAAAAACGAATCGAAGATCACCTAATACCCAGTGCAAACAAACACGGCTGACGCATATACGGTGATGATGATGATGATACTCCTTGGGAGGCGTCTCCCCTCTAAGCGTTAATTATCCAAATACCAGCCAGCTGGCTGCTCTCCAATAACCAATGCAATTTGGCAATATATTTCAGCCCGAATACACATTCACTCTAAAGGCTACGCCGCGATATCGGCAACACTTAGCAGGGCGAAACCCGTTCGGCATCGAGGCAGGCCGTATAAAAGTGAATTGTGGCAAAAATTCTGAACAGTTGAAGCGCACGCTTAGCGGCGACAGCATCGCATTGAAGATTATACTTAAAAATTAAAAAAATAACATACAAAAACGGGAGGCCAACAAGGTGTTACTACTGATAACAAATCAAAGCCCACTTACAACCCATATATTACGCGAGTGACAACACAACGGCCAACAAAATTGGATTAATTTCGACTTGTGTCAAGTGCCTTCAAAACCAGTTAGCAAAACAGGATACCATTAGCTAATCAATTAATTAATTAAGCCATTAAAAACAAACGGTACAACCAGGCACCAAGATGTTTGCATACACTTGGCAAGTAAGTATATCTCGAGGGAATTGAATTTCGTATTTGAAATTTTCGATATTTATGAGGCAAACACACAGAAACGTGTTTCGGCCATTAACATTTTCAACCAAAATTCACCGAAATTAAGGCTGCAAAACAAAGACCAGCAGACCAGACAGAGCCGTACTCTGATTATTTCGGCAAGGCCAAAAGCATTATCGAAATCAAGTTATATACATTTATTCTATTTCTGATTTCTACCAAAGAGACGCGCTGTGATCTTGTGATCTTCATGAGGAAGTGTCATAAAAATGATACAGCTTTATTGTCACTTGATCTTTAATCTTTAATCTTCGATCTACGATCTACAGATCCTGTTGGAAGCCTTGAATGCTTCAACCCTGAACCACTAAATTCAAAAAAATAAAAAAATAGCAACCGGTTACATGGCCGCAATCTCAATCTGTTGATCCTCTCCTTTTTTTTGGCCCTCTGGCTGATTGAAATTAATTTGTTTTGCTGTCTGCGGTTAAGGTTTTACATAATTCAAAATAAGAAATAAGAAATAAGAAAAAGAAGTGGCGTGATGGGTGATTCATCCATCATTAGGCTTCCAGGAATATACATAAGTTTGACATTAGCATAGAGAATATATTATAAGCGAAGAGAGTGGTGCATCCGGTTAGATGAATCTTAGATCTGGCGCCTAGAGATCAGCTGGATTCTCGGATCATGCTCGATGACGCCTACCAAATTCGAGACGTGCTCATGAATATTTTACGTGCGACTATAAATTAGATTTGATTGCGGTTATATCATTGACTTGGGGCCCCTTCTCCCTCTTAATTTAAATTAATTATTGTATGCTAATTCGCACAGCATAAGCGCTAAGAGCAGACAGGTTCTGGTTCTGGCACCGCTGGCCTCCAGCCGCTATTCACACCTCCCATGTCTCACCTGTGTTTTCCTTTCCTTGTTTTTTTTTTTTGTTGCAGATCAGCTCTGTGATCCTGCTGGTCCTGGCAGCGATGGTTAGTGCAGTTCCAGCTCCCCAGCAGCAGGAGGTTCCACATGCCCTGCTGGACATCGAGACGCCCAATCAGTTCAGCTACAGTCCCTCGCCACTGGCCCAGCCGGAGAGCCTGAGGTCCAAGCCGTACTTTGATTTCCTGAGCACACTCTATGCCCATGATACGGCCAAATCGAATCTGTTCCGGCCTTATAGCCGTCAGCGTCGGGATGCGGATGCTGTGGCAGCCAAGAAGTTGGATCGCCCTCGTCGGGCCATCGTCTTCCGGCCCCTGTTCGTGTACAAGCAGCAGGAGATCCGCAGGCAGGAGATCAGGGATAGGAATGCCCAGAGGCGTCACGATTTGAACCGCCTGCAGCGTCTGTAGTCCTGTCCTCACTGTGTGTGTCCAAGCAGCCAACCCGGGATGTTGGCCATCTACAGGGTCCTCTAGCACTTAGCCTCCACTGTGTCCTAGCCTTAAGTAATGCACTGCAGCACGACGAGAGAGAGAGAGAGCACTCATTGCTATATTTTATATATATATAAATAATCCATTTGCACCGCCTTCACCACCACCCACACCCATCCTTGTAGTTCTAAGTCCAAGATGTTTGTTATGCAATTTGTTATCGCGACTTTTGATTAAAGCTAACAAAACTGATTTTGATACGAGCAGGTTTCTTTTTGGGGCAGGGGTTTGTACAAGTTGTTATCGTCACCCCATGTGACTGTATTAGGATCTAATTATATTATAACAATGCTTTAAAGGTTATCAACCGGATGTCAATGTCATCCCATAAAACAGTGGATTTATGTTTCAGGTTTGATCTCTATAAAATACTACATTTTAAAAGTCTTATTCACCCCACACGATATTCTCAATCCAGTCGGTGTAGAGATAAACCTTGGTGTAAACACTGGGCAGTCCCTCAACACCGCACACAATGCCATAGGATGTGACACCAATCACTTGCTTGAGGCAGGTGTAAACGGGATGCTGGACAAAGACAGGTCCTCCGGAGTCCCCGTAGCAAGTATCGCCACTGCTGCTCCTGGATCCCGCACAGAGCTGAGTCCGCACATCGATCTTGTGGCTCAGGCGTTCGCTGCACTGCTGCTCCTCGAAGCGTTCCAGGGTGACTTTGAGGAGATGCGAGGAACCTTTCCCACCCTCTGAGGTGGCTCCCCAACCGGCAGCAGTCACCTGAGGATACTCATTTCCACTGCCTGGTGGCAGGCAGGCAGGTGCCACATACTCGTTGAAGGTAGCCTCTTTGTCCAGTTCGAGAAGAGCAATGTCATTGAAGCGACTTCCGGTGTCATCATCTTCGCCATAACCAGGATGCACCACATAGTTGACCACCATAAAGTCCTGTGGCCGGGCATCATCCGTGTTGCTATTGTAGTCCAGTTCTCCCAGTCTTACCACATATTTGGGACAGTCGTAGTTGGGATCCAGGCGTTGGGCCTTGGTCCTGAAATGATTTTGATATAAATATAAGGTATCTAAGTAAACAAATGCTTAAGAAATTCATAAAACTAGTAAACTGCAGAATATATGTAATATTAATTAATAGCAATTAAATTGAATGGAAATTTCTGTCTTTTGAAAAACTATTCCTCCTAATAAAAACATGTTTAAAACATGATGCTTTTCTGTTTGCTTTTTAGATCAACATAGTTTATAGCTTAAAGATAAAATAATTTATGGTCTAGACATAATAGAGCTGAGAAAAAGATTTTAATGGAGTAACTAGAAGGCAAATAAAAATGTATAAGGTTAACTTTTGACAATTTAAATTCTTTTTAATTGATTTGGAAATTCCAAAACACATAGTGTAAGCAAAATCTAGTGAGAAATTTAAAGCAATTTAGTAATTTAATATTTAATCAGTAATCTTACTTACTCACTGGTCTCCAGGCAATGGGCGGCGGTTAGCACGAACTTGGGATGAATGAGGCTGCCACCGCAGTCCCATTGAATATGTGAAGAGTTTTTCCTACGTTGTCCCAGCAATGCCATAAAGGGAAATTCGCGGCCCTCGGCCTTGGTGCCTCCCACTATAAAAGGCGTGGAACGGCAGGAAGCTCTTATCTCATTATAGCGGCGGCATTCTGTTTAGAATCGAAAACAACGCAATCTTAATTCAAAGAATTAACTCAACTTATTTTTCGTGTAACTGACCCTTCTCAAATTTATTAGCCTTACGCCGGTGGAGAATGGCTGCACCTGGCTTTGCATATTAATTGGCAGTGGACAGCAGACAATGTCGTTGAACTCGTCGCAATATTTCACATAAGGTCCGATTGAAGCCAGGTTATGAAATATGGTCGGACAGCCGCTTAATTCCTTGCATTCCCCAGTTCCATTCTCACAAAGTTTGGGCACAGTATGGCCGAGGACGACGCCAAAAATGAAGGGAGTCAAAACCAACACTTGCATTTTGGGTGGTGACGCGTTTCAAACTGAACAAAAGTCAACTTCCAAGTCGAGCTTAAGCTGACTGATAAGCAGAGTGGGGGTTTTATTTTGGGGTTTTTTAAAGAAATAGTTATTAAAAATAATATTAAATTATTATACTATACCTAAGATTAAATATGGTAATTTGTTACAATAGACTGCATTTAGTAGCATTTAATAATTCTGTATAATTTAAATTAACTTTTGAATTTTTAGGTGTGACTGAATTCTGAATGGCAAAGTAATACCAATTTAGAGTGTACCGCCTAGTATTTAAATTCACGAATTGGTATTTGAGCAATGAGAGAGAGCGAGAGCGAGAGCAACCAAAATACTAGAAAGTCATGTCGCAAAGGAGCCCATTTAATATATTAAAGAATGGTTTTAATGTTTTGGTTTCACTGTTCCCTCATTAATTTAATAATATGAAAACGGCTAAATACAATAAAGTGTTCACAAATTAAATTAAAACATTTAAATCATTGCTGCATTCCTATCATAAAATACCAAAATATCATTAGAGTTACCATGTCAAACACAGTATTTTTGTGGCTGCGGTGTATTTTAGCCGAGGTCATCTGGGCACACTGATTTTAATACTCTTTCCGTTTTGTCAACCAACCAAAAAAGATGGCCGACGTAAATATCTTTCGAAAATCCAAATAAATATTTGGCATCCGTGCGGGAACTGACCGAAATACAGTGCGAAAAGAGTTTGGCGGTGTTTCTCGCACGATGGCAGATGTTATTTTGGAGTTATTCAGTATGAAAATTGCGTCTATACTGACTGTGTTTTTCTTTCCCTTTGATTTTTGCAAAACAGCAAGTCGATGAGAATCTGAAGAAGAAGCGCACCTTCAAGAAGTTCACCTACCGCGGTGTCGACTTGGACCAGCTTCTGGACATGCCCAAGTGAGTAGTTGGAATATTCAAATATTAATTATGCGGCTTCTAACCGGCGCCCTTCTTTCCCGACAGCAACCAGCTGGTGGAGCTGATGCACAGCCGCGCCCGCAGGCGTTTCTCCCGCGGTCTGAAGCGCAAGCCAATGGCTCTGATCAAGAAGCTGCGCAAGGCCAAGAAGGAGGCTCCCCCAAATGAGAAGCCCGAGATTGTCAAGACCCACCTGAGGAACATGATCATCGTTCCCGAGATGACCGGCTCCATCATTGGTGTCTACAACGGCAAGGACTTTGGCCAGGTGAGGAATACATTCTCAGCGGTTATCGTGACTTAATTAGGAGTTCATTAATGCGCTTTTAAATGAGTGATGATTCTAAAATAGATAAATATTGTGTGTTAGCCTGTTGGACTATGGAATGAGGGAAGCAACTCTGGCTCCTTATACATTCAGCTGTCTGATAACTAGAGATTTAAAGATATAACTATAAACTCAGTATAGTAGTAATGACAAAAATTGCAATTATCGTTTAAACCACTTTGCTGTTCTTATAATTTGCAAAAAGCTATGTTAAAGGTTAACCTTCATGTATTGAATAATTTGTTATTATTTATGCTAGATAATTGATATATTTCTGTTGGATATTCTGAGAATGTAAACTCGTAACTACACCAAGGAATTTAACCTCTATAATTAGGTCACGAAAACGTCCCATAAATGTTATCCATATTTACTGCCAGATATCTAATTCTAATTTTCCTTTCACCCCACAGGTTGAGGTCAAGCCCGAGATGATCGGTCACTATCTGGGAGAGTTCGCTCTGACCTACAAGCCCGTTAAGCACGGTCGTCCCGGTATCGGTGCCACCCACAGCTCCGTTTTATTCCTCTGAAGTGAGCGCTGCTCATCTTTATTTTGAGATGTTGATGCGTAATAAATGAAACGTACTTTTATAAGAACTATGTTGCGTTTCCATCACACCAGATCAAATCAAGTAAAAGGAGTGGATAAAACTTAAGAAATGTACGTTATCTATTTATTGGAACTTGTAAATCAGTGAGTGGCTGTGCGAACCCAAAATAGTAGCTATCTGCGCTGGCGGCGAGCGATATTGTGGCTGCTGCTGCTGGTGCGGTCATAGGCGGTGTCTTTCATAACTGGGGCACTCCGGGGACTCCTGCTCGTCGTCATCTCGCTGACATCGGCCGATCCGTAGGCGCTGTCTTTAACTTGAGAAGCATACGGGAGATTAGCATAGCTCGAGGCCCGGCATCATAAAGCTCTGAAAGTGCGGCAAGGATTAGTAATTAGCCGGCGGTTGTCATCGCCTAAAGAAGGAGTTGTCTTTTGGATTGAGGCCTGTGGATGTCTGGAGATGCTGGTTGAGCTGCTGCAGGCTATGGCTTTGGCCCATGTTAAAAGCGCCCAAAGCGGGATAAGCGGCGGTTACGATTGAGGATTTAGGATGCTCCGGCTGGAGTTGCGGGTGCCCACTCCGATTGAGTTCTTGGCGGCGGGAGAGGTGTTCACATCGAAGGTGGTTAGCATGGGATTGCTGCTCAGCGAGCGCTGGTTCAGTCGAGGATCAGCCTCACCTAGACGATTCAGTTCCGTCTCCATGGATGTGTACATGGTCATGTTGCTGGCCAGCAGATCCTGCCGCGAGCCCAGCGTCAGTAGGCTGTCTGCATTGTTCAACGTGGAGGCCGTGGTGCTATAGTTGGAGGAGGGACTGGCGGACTTGGAATACGACATGGCCACTTGGCCCATTTCGCTGGGACCCTGCTGCAATGCCCCCGTCGTGGATCGAAGTGCTTCTGTGTGGCATCCTTAAGGGTGCCCTTGATTCTTTGGTGCTTTCCGGCGGACTGGCCGGCTTGCGCAGTGACGAGATGTGACCGGGCAGCGGTTCCCGGGAAACTGATGACGATGGAGAGGCGGAATTGGTCTCTTCGTTCTCTTCCTGTAATGGAGGTTTGAGGGTTTAAGTGAATGTTAAGCTACTTGGCATTAAGAAAGGATTTCGTTTTGCTATATGTGAGTATAAATTTCCCAAAAGATTTCTTGGTTAATCAGAGAACAATGCCTTGGTTTTTTAAAGACAATTAAAAAAAAACTTGGCATGTCTCCAACTAATTAAAATTAAAGGTTGTTCCGCCATGTTTGTTCAAGATCAGGTAATTTTAGCTGCTTGAAAACTTAATCCATTTTAATATGTATAAAACTCACCTCATCCTCCTCTGTTATGATGGACGACTCGATCCAGTCTTTGATGCGATTCTTCTTCTGTTGCCGATCCACATTCGTCTCGATCCCGCAATCGGCCAAAGTGTATAGCAAACGATTCTTCTCATCCGGACTGCTGTGAAAGGAGTACATGGAGGGACACAGCTCATCGGTCTCATATTCGGCCATCTCCTTTTGCGCTGTCTTGGCCAGCCAGCGATCATCTAGGAACTTGGTTACATCGGCCAGGCTCTTTGGACGGTTGGAGATTCTGGCAAAGAAGCGCTTGAACATGCGCTGGGCATTCGAAGTGAGGAGCTTAAAGAGCCTAGGAGTTCGCCGCAGGGGCATCATCATAAGACCACCCTGCCAGGCCAAATATCGCACATAACGAGGATCATCGGATGAAGCCTTCTGCCAGGGCAGACAACCAGTTAAACACACAAAGATCACAATGCCAAACTGCCAGACATCGTGGCTGGGATCGGCTCTGGAGTAAAGGGTAATATTAGTACTGGGATCATGGTTACTTGCTCCCTGTACTTACTTGTAACTGCCCTCGGGCTTGATTTCTAATACTTCAGGCGGACTGTAGGGCAGCCATTCGTTCCGCCGCTCCACAGTGGAGCCTGTGGGAAAGGACTCGCCGAAATCGCAGAGCTTGATGCGCTGAAAGTCCGAGCGATAAATAAGGACATTATCCAACTTAATATCCCGATGGACTATGTCTCTGAAGGAAAGGGAAATATATAAAATTAGAAGGGGTCATATGCTAGCTTATAATATTTATCTTTTATATTAGGAAAACTTACTTTGAATGCATGTAGTCTATGGCCGAGGCCAATTGTTTGGCCACACGCTTACTGTAAACTTCGCCCACGCCGAATCGGTCACGTTCGATGTGAGATCCCCTGAAATTATGAAATTCTCTCATTTAATTTGTTAATATATAAAATGTATAGAGTGTAAAGACCCACCTAGTGGAGCATATTCCTGGGTGAAAACGTAGAAACCCGCCGTTTCAAAGGCCACATCATAGGTGGTTACTATATGTCGGTGCACACCCAAATGGAGTCCGTAATGGAATTCCCGATAAAAGTCTCTTAGGGTCACATATGGCTTGGGTACGGCTTTGAGGACCATCTCCGTCTGGGATCCCCGGTGCTCAACCAGCAAGATCTTCCCGAACCATCCCTCGCCAACGATCTGAATGATATCAAACTCGTCCACAAGCTGGATCTATATATAGATGACATATTTAAAATAGCTGTGAAAAAACTACACCATCTATGTTTTGAAACTTTTTGGGTAACCTGTCGGTATTAATTAATTAGCCAATATTTCTAGTCAACAACCATTTTTGTTCCCAACTAGACTCTGTTTTTATTTAAATTTCTTTAAATTTGTAGAGAGTGTGAAATGTATTCTAAATTCAGCTCCGATTAATAATAGTTCCTGTTCATAAATTGTGTCGTTTCCTGTTCTGAGAAATCAAAGAGCAGAGCTTTGTGCAATATGCTGCGCCTCGTTTAAGACCCACCTCAACTATATCGGAACAATAAAATATACAAATGTACAGAGATATAGGAAAGTGTGAGCGAGAGAATCGTGTGTATATATATTGTGGCGTTACCTAGACCTATTAAACATTACTGTATTCGAGACCGAGACGATGCCCCAATGCTGTTTGTGTTTAATGATCAGAAATCTAATCGTTAACATGGCATTTTCCTCGATGTGTTGTAGACGATTTCCCGGGGAAGAGATTATTGGCAATATGCCCATCATAACGGTCAAGACGCGACTGGGCCAAGACGAACTCTTAATACCTTTCTATATCTCTATTTGTTTATTAACTGGATAGATCATATCATAGATCATAGATCGAATTTACTCACCTTCTCCAGTTCAAACTCTCGGATCTTGTGAATGTGTCCACGTGGTTTCTTCGACATTTTGATTGTTTGCAAATGTTCCTTATGGTTTATTTTGTTTTATTTTGGCTTTCGCCTCAGTTCATATCACTTGATTCACTTTCAATTCTGCGAATCTTTGTCCATGAGCAGGCCAATAAAATAATTGAAACAGTTTATGTACGCGAATGTATCTACCAGATTGTATCTACATATTTACACTTTTGTATACAAGACGGGGCGTTGTAAATATTTATAGCGACAGCAGCAGTAGCAGCGGCAAAGGAAAACATTTCTATATCTGTTGGATTCCTTTATACCCGCTAGTAGTATGTGAGATGTTTTCTGGCTTTTGTTGCTGCTGCTGCACGCAGCTAAAGTAAATCAAGAGATGAATCTGAAATTGATTGTGCGCTTTTTGCGCTTCCTGGTAAACGGACATGGACCTATTATTGCACATCTAGTGGAAATTCACCCAAAACAAAAATACGGGGTAATCCGTAGAGCAGCGCGTGCACGTATAAATATTTGGACACGTACCACATCACACACACACACACACACACACACACACAGACCAATGAGCGCGAAGAATTCGAAAGAATCGCTCGCCAGACGGCAATAAGTTTTTAGAACCAGGCCGCAAAATTCTTCTCGTCACTCTCCCCGGCTTCTGGTTCAGCTCGATTCTTTTCTGTTTTGATGTTTGTTTTCTCTTTTCGCTTTATGCATAATATCAACAGCTAAATTAAAAATAATGCCATCGCGCCTGCCTCTTATATAAAAACCTTTTTGCGAAAGTAGCTTCTGCTGAAATTTCTCCCATGCGGCGGAATGGATTCCCGTCTAAATTATCCAGCGGAACGCACTATATCGACACGCATTTCCACACGCACTGCCGCAATTTTGTCAAGTGAGCTGGCAGCAGCATACATATGTACATACATATGTGGGAGTATGTATTTAATACAGCTGCACCTGCAATTAAAATCCGCGGTCTGTTCTGCCACAAACGCATCCGATATTCACGAGTGCCCGTTGCCAACTGCTCTCGGTTAGGGATTTAAAAAAAGATATTCCGAGCATTGCATGCGAGAGTTTTCGAAATCGTTTTCGAAATATGCTTGTGCTGCGAATGGGAGAGAGATTAGGAGAAGAGAAAGTTGCACAAGAATATAGACAGAATAGAGAAGGGCTAACAGGAGAGATATTTACCATGATTAACCCCCTTAAATCTATAGTTTTAAAACCAAATAGTCATATAAAGCTTTTGGAATTATTATTCTTTTTGTGGATAAAAAGTACATGTATTTATAGGATTTATTCAACTATAATCGTAATATTTGACCTCTAAATAATTTAAACAATATTACTAACCATAAAATATATTGATTAATGCATTTCAATCAATATTTTCTATTAAATCTTTAGTAATTTCATTGAATTCAATTCAAAAAGCTTGTTAACATAGCTCTGTTAAGCATCTCACCACCCAACAACAGCAGCCTCCTCAGTTAACAGCGCACACACATTAAGTCTCTGCACCAATACAACGCAGCGCGGCCATGTACACAAAGAGCATCAAGTATACGCACCGTTGTCGTGGTATATGTAAGCCAACTCTAATTGGTCACTTCCGTTCCGGTTCCGTCGACGTTTCCTTGGCGCATGCGACTTTCAGGCTTTTCAGTTTGGGGACTTTAGCTCTAGAGGTTCAACTTCTCCACTGTCGTTGCTACTGCTGCGCTTGACACACACACACACAAAAAAAATTTTGCCATGGCACATAAGTGCTGTGCTCTGCCTGTGTTTGTGTGTGTGTGTGATAAGAGATGCAGCCTTTAGAACCACTTGTCGCGGACTATAAAAGTGGCAACTGGCCAGCAGCCATTGGCAAACGCTCGCATGTCACCGAAGGCGCAACAGCTCCGATTCGATACGATTTCGATTTAAATTCCTCCATCCGCCTTAAAAGTTGAGAAATTTTCCATCAAAAACATATATCTGCCAATGAGTGTGAAGTGAAATTCGGTCTGGAATTGTTTGCGGAGCTACTGGCCTAGTTTTCTATATATTTTTGGACTTTATCAAGGATTACTTAACAATGGATTGGTGCAACTGTAACATTTGAGCTTGATATTTTTTGGGTAAGTAAAAGTATGTATATATAAATCGGAATTACTTGGTGTTTAAATATTTTAATATTGTGAATTAAGAGAAAAGTATAACAAGAGGATTTTTGGTTTAACATTGCCAGTTAAAAGTGCATTAAGTTTATAAATTAAGAAAACTGAATTTAAATAACAAATAGATATTAAAAAAAATGAGTTATTTTTCAAAAGTATTTAAAGTTCGTCGTAAATATAGAAAAAATTTAAAGTGTCATTAATTATGGAAATTATCAATGAAGCTTAACAATTCTTCAAATTCCTTAAAATTTTCAAAAACAATCCAAAAATATTATTAAACTTAGCATTTTACGATTCATTCAAAAGAAACATGATTTCAAATAATATTCCATGAAAATTCACATATTTATGACTAGATTTCATTAAAAATTAGCTTACTTAAACAAACTTGTATTTTTAATTAAACTGACAAATGATCTGAAATAATCTACACAATATTAAATAACATCATCAAAAACTACAAAACTAACCAGCTATATTACATTTTTAAAGCTTGTTTTTACATGTAACACTCTGATTTGATAACTTCCAAGCACAAGCTCTTTATCGAATCATAAATAAACTGTTTTTATAATTGTACTTGCTCGTAAATAAGCCCCGAGTAGCGGCTAAGCCCGTCGGACCCGTGGAGCACACTCAATCTGCATTCCGCTTAATTGATCACAGCTCTGGACAATTAAAGTCAGCGGGGAAGAATTAAGTAGATCAAATTAATTGTTTGACGTGTTTGTGGTTTCATTACACGCAATGATTCCCCGAGAGTTCCATATACAAATATGTACATATACAACATGGTGAATATATATATACTTACTTGTTCTGTGTTGTGGATGGGTTTGGTCAAGTGTTTGCTGGCCAGTGTGCTTGGACATGCCACCTGTCGTATGCGTAATGTGCCAACGAGCTCTTCAAGGGCTGGGTGAGCACATGTCGTGGCCAAACAGGTTTCAAGTGGCTCTGGACACACACTCATTGAGGTCCAGGGACTTACTAAAGAGTAGAAGAGATGGGTTGGGATTAAGACCGAAATGATTCCGGGTTTATATTTGGGATATGTATATGTTTGAGTCTATACAACTGACCCATTAAGTGTACGATTTTATACAGATTTCAAAGTGCGGCGGCGGGAACTTTAGCGTGGTCGAATATCGACGCGTTTTGGGTCAAGGACACGACGGGTTATATAGTCGCAGATGTCACCAACGGGACAGGTATCCAAATCAAAGACGCCAACGCCACACGATAACGATAACAATAGCATTAGTGACGATCGCGAAACATGGAGCGGCAAAGTGGATTTTTTATTATCGGTTATTGGATTCGCCGTCGATTTAGCAAACGTCTGGAGATTTCCCTATTTGTGTTACAAAAATGGAGGTGGTAAGTAGTAATTACTATATAATATTTATCTAATTGATTGTTTCCAGCTGAACCATATAAGATCATGAATTTATGATATAATTTAAAAGTTTTCTATTTAAATTTTGATATGTTTTTGATTTATATTGACTTTAAAGGTAAAGATATAACGTATGCATCTAAATATAGTGCCTAATAGTATATCTAAATTCTAGGTTAAATAAATTGAGGCTCGAAATGATATCATTGCATCTTACAAACCCTTTTTTTGGTTTAAAAACCTCTGCGCCTTCTGTAAGAATATCTTGACTTTATGATTGTGTGTCCTTAAATTTTTCTCTGTGTGAACTGGCCAATTAGGGGACAAAGACATTTCGTGAATCGCTTCGGCTGAGTGAAAATAATTTATATGGCTTTACACATCATTGGGCTCGCCACGGAACCCACCGCCTTCCGCTCTCCGCATTTCGCACTCCGCATTTCCCTTTCGGCCTTGTTAACACTTTGTCAAAGTGGTGCGAAGTGCCGTAACTGAAGGGGAGGGACAGACTGGAAGCTCACATCCTTTGTGGAGTGGCAAGGAGTAGAGGATGGGAATGGAACCCGTACACACTCTCAAACACTTACTACACTTCCTGATCCTCACCGTCGACGCCATCATTCAAAACAATTCCAAAAGTTAAGTGCTTCTGTATGACAACTAAATCTGGCAGTCATAATCGCATTTGGCCTGCTTACTCTTTACCCTCCTTGTGCACTCGCTTTCACCCCATTCCTGGGCAATATGTCAGCCGGCTGATGTGGAGTTCAGAGCCTAGAGAGCACGGCTTTTGTTGCCGGAGCACTTTCCCCAACGCATTGTGGGAAATTCATGTGCGAAACATGTCTTCACCCCCCATTTCCTCATGATGGCGGCACTTTCCCGCTGATGTGCGTGTGAATGGATTGTGGCTTCTCACACGAGCCGAGCCCTTCGATATAGTTATTACTATTTTATTATTATTCTTTTGCTCCATCAAAGCTTCACAGTAGCTGGATGCTGGATGCTGGATTCTGGATACTGGCTGCTCCCTTTAAAATCATAATAATAAATTGTTATATTTATACGCTTCATTGCGTTCAATCAGTGGCTCGGCTACGGCTTAAGTTCCACTTAATGTCCGTTGCCAGGGACCAACACCACCACCATCACCACCAACTCGCTCAGGTTGCGATTATTGCCACAGCTTAGTCGGTATTATTTATTCTCTTTCCCATTTACCTGCTTACAACTCTTGAGGACACAGGGGAAGAGCTAGCTGTCCTGGCAGCAACAGGCTGTGCCAGCCACAATGTCCTGGATTAGGGCTAAAAACCTCATGGAGGAGAGGCACTTAAGGCTTAGATCGCGAATATGTTTATCATGCATACTTACCAAGTTAAATATGCATTTTGTCTTTAGGAATTTTCCCTCAAAGGATAGTGACATCTTTTAAGGAATTAAAATCACTTGAAAGTCTGTTAAGTTCATAATATTTACTTTGCTAGTTAAGACCATTATCATCATCTATCGATAACATATTTTGTTCCAATTTTGACCAACTGATGGCGTGAAAATTGAATTACTGGCACAACTTTTCCTCTGTGTCCATGACGAACGGGAAATGCACTTGAAGCAACGGAAATTATGGCTTCAACAACAGTGTCCGGGGACGTCATAGATGGCCTGACTTTATTTTAGACGTTTTTGTTTTACATTTCCACCATAATTGACACGACAGAAGGAAGCCTCCGAGGCAGCCAGATCCTTTGTAGCTCCATACCTACATACATATATATATATCAAGCACATCGCCCATGCATATTATATAGAAGACTGGTGGGGTATATATAATGTCCGTAGACGACTTTGTCGGCCACTTTGCCTGCTAATAGACATAATCAAATCATAAAAACATCATCCCCTGTCACTCAACAAAGTATCGATGGCACTCTACCAATTGTCGGGCCCAAAAGACGGGGGTTTCCCCGGGGGTGGAGGTTTTCCCTGGTATTTGCCGGAGGTGACGGAGATGACTGCAGGAGACAGGCGTCCTTCCTCTTCCTCTTCACCCAGTCTCTGTCTCTGGCCTGGGCCTGGCTGCTGTTAATGTTTTTAAAATGTCCTTAGAGTGGCACTTGTAAAACAATTTGATTTTGTGTACCATCGAACATACATAAAAGTATGGCATGGCATATGGTGTCTATATATTAAATATGTGTGTAATTATGTTTGACGACAAGAGTGAGACGAACAATGCAAAGGCTGTGACACGGGTCAGTCGCCAAGTGTGGCGGTTATGCAATCATCATAAAAAAATTTATTGATTTCGCCTTTAGCTAAAATGCAGGCGAGGTGAAAGTCAAGTAATTTCGGAAAAGGAAAAGAAAGTATATATATACATTATATTTAAGTGTGACATGCTCTGTTAGGCAATAAATTGAATTTAAAATTTAGAAAAACCTATTAATCAGGCTTCACGAAAGGAATTTTGAATAATTAGCAATTTAAATCTAACTTTGATTTGTCTTTAAATATTCGCAAACTGTAAAATTTGTTGGCATTTTTTAGCATTATTATTTTATTATTTTCTTAATGTTGAGGATTATCTTTTTCTCATAATATATATAGAATATCAAGTCTAATATATATCCCATTTTAGGCGCATTTCTTGTGCCCTATTGCATTATGTTGGTGGTCGGAGGCATACCTCTATTCTACATGGAACTGGCCCTTGGTCAGCACAATCGTAAGGGTGCCATTACCTGTTGGGGTCGCCTAGTGCCACTCTTCAAAGGTAACTATATTCTCACCAAAAATATAAATTGAAATAAAACCTAATATATATTTAATTAGGAATCGGTTATGCGGTGGTGCTGATAGCCTTCTATGTGGACTTCTACTATAATGTGATTATTGCCTGGTCGTTGCGTTTCTTTTTTGCATCCTTCACCAGCTCATTGCCCTGGACATCGTGCAATAATATTTGGAATACACCCAATTGTAAACCTGTAAGTAATGTTAATTATACATAATTAAATATTAACCCGTTTTTAATTTGTTTTTAATTCATTCTGCTTTAGTTTGAGAGCCAGAATGCTACTCGTGTGTCAGTGATAGGCAATTACAGTGACTATTATAGCCTGGGCAATCAGAGTTTGCTCTATAATGAGTCTTATATAAATGGTTCAATGACGGGCTTGGAATCCCCTTCGGGAGGTCACATCGAGGGCTTTCAATCTGCTGCCTCCGAGTATTTTAAGTAAGTGGATTATCTATATATAATTATATCTGTTAATATATATTTTTGATTTATCTAGTCGTTACATTTTGGAGCTTAACCAAAGCGAGGGCATACACGACTTGGGCGCCATCAAATGGGACATGGCCTTGTGTCTACTGATTGTCTATTTAATCTGCTATTTCTCCCTGTGGAAGGGTATCAGTACTTCCGGCAAGGTTGTCTGGTTCACAGCCCTCTTTCCCTACGTGGTGCTACTAATTCTACTGATCCGGGGTCTCACTTTGCCAGGATCTTTCCTGGGCATTCAGTATTATCTTACACCCAACTTTAGTGCCATTTATAAGGCAGAGGTTTGGGTGGATGCAGCCACTCAGGTGTTCTTCTCCCTGGGTCCTGGATTTGGTGTACTTTTAGCCTATGCATCCTACAACAAGTATCACAATAATGTGTACAAGTGAGTGCAATTTACTAGAGAGTTCTTAAAGTTATAATATATAATATCTTTCTTTAGAGACGCCTTGCTTACCAGTTTCATTAATTCGGCCACCAGTTTTATAGCAGGATTTGTGATATTCTCAGTTTTGGGTTATATGGCTCACACATTGGGCGTGAGAATTGAGGATGTGGCCACTGAAGGTCCTGGCTTGGTATTTGTGGTCTATCCAGCTGCCATTGCCACCATGCCGGCCAGTACTTTCTGGGCATTGATATTCTTTATGATGCTGCTCACTCTGGGATTAGATAGTTCGGTAATTATATATAACTTATATTACTTGGAAAATATAGTAATAAATCACCTTAATCCATTACAGTTTGGCGGTTCGGAGGCCATTATAACCGCCTTGAGTGATGAGTTCCCAAAGATACGAAAGAACCGGGAACTGTTTGTTGCTGGTCTGTTTTCCCTGTATTTTGTGGTTGGATTGGCCAGTTGCACTCAGGGAGGATTCTATTTCTTCCATTTGTTGGATCGCTATGCTGCCGGGTACTCAATCCTGGTGGCCGTGTTCTTCGAGGCGATTGCCGTGTCCTGGATCTATGGTACCAACCGATTCAGTGAGGATATTAGAGATATGATTGGCTTTCCGCCGGGGAGATATTGGCAGGTGTGCTGGCGTTTTGTGGCTCCGATTTTCCTGCTCTTCATCACAGTCTATGGCTTGATTGGTTATGAACCCCTGACTTATGCGGATTATGTGTATCCCAGTTGGGCCAATGCCCTGGGCTGGTGCATAGCCGGTTCGTCGGTGGTAATGATTCCCACGGTGGCCATATTTAAGCTACTTTCAACGCCGGGAAGTCTGCGGCAGAGGTTAACCACATTGACAACACCGTGGCGAGATCAACAATCGATGCAAATGGTGCTGAATGGTGTCACCACCGAGGTCACTGTGGTGCGTCTGACCGATACGGAAACCGCCAAGGAACCCGTCGATGTCTGAGTTCGACCTATTGCTCGTTTTCAAATTTACTACGTTTAGATTTGGAAATTTACCAACAACTCATGTTCACATACTTGTGGCATTCCGGGAGAGTGTTAGCGGTTTTTTTTTAATTTGTTGGACATTAGGAAAGCAAGGTCCTGGAGGATCGGCTAATTTCGCAAACAACGTACTTAGGTTTCGGCACCGGTAGAGGAAAAAACCAAAAGAGACAGAGAACAGCGTCAAGCCATAAGTCCTAAGTTAAGATTAGCTTGTAGTTTGTATGGTTAATGCCAGTTATATACCATACACATATTTATATATCTATATATATAAAATGCTGTGTAGATAATACCAAAAACCCAATAGAACGGAAAGCCAGCCGTCGTTTAAATCACCTTAAAAGAAATTTTCCAAAGAACGTATGCATGTGCCAATGGAATTAACCACACGATCGTAGCTCAAATTGGATGAAATTGGGCATAGAATCTGTACATACACAAGAATCAATGATGTAAAAGCTTTAAACATGTTATAGGATATGTCTCACGGAACTGAAGCATAGAAAGCTGCCCCAAAATCCTCTCAGACAGCCATTGAGGGGATTTTGTCATATATGCCAAGGTTTTCTTCTAGACTCATTTATATTCCCCCGTCCAGCCAACTGCTATTGATTGCTTAAAGCAGCCATTTTAAGCAATCAATTGGGAGTTACGAAAACATTCCCAATTCAATAGATAATTTATGTATATAGATTTTATGATGTTTTGTAATTATTTTAAAGGTTTCTTTCACACTGAAGCAGAACTAACAGCCATGAGTTCTGTTTCAATATGTTGAAATAAATTATTATACTTTGAGTTACTCAAAATTAAGGAGGTTGTTTAATTGCATAGATAAATTCAAGGAAAACTAGGTATTGTTGCTTCTTGGCTTAATGAAACCTCTCTATTCCCAAAGAATAAATAAATTAAATCACCACTTTCTTGATTAGATATTTGGGTTTTTATTCCAATTTGTATGCTTTGGTTTTTCTTGTACAATAATTTCAATTATTAACGTATAAAAAGTATAGAGGAAATTCGTAACAAAAGCAACTCATATTGTTTTCCATTTTCGATGATTTTGTATCAAGTAGCGCAGTTTGCCGGTTAAATATTGAACTCTCTCCTCTCACAGAATCGCAGCTTTTGAGTAAGTATTTTTGTTTGTTAGTTCGGGGTACATATTACATATCGCATATATAGTATTTGGTATGAGGGCGTACATCTTCGTACAGCACTATGTAAGCTTTTGCATTAAAAATATATGTATGTATGTATGTATGTTATGTATGGTTAGTACCGGATGTGAGAGATGTAACTCCTTCCTGGTTAATTGATACTCGTATAACATGTTGCGGTGTATGCAGATTACGTATGTTGGTCGGGTTTTTGGATTAAGGTTGCGATTTGTAGGGTGCATCTAGTTATTTTGATTTCATTGGTGTGAACATGGTTTTTATATATTTTATGGTATCGCCTTTTTTCTGGATGCTATAGAGCTTAGCGTATGTACAGTAAATATTTTTTGCTTCTGATCCTGATGCTTTTGGTATACATATATAGGTTTATAGTTATAGGGCAGAAATGATCATCTCTACCTTTGAGATATTCTGTTTTCTTTGCGCGGTTACTTGATATTCATGGATGTTTTGCTATTTCGTGCTCTTCTTCGATGATTCGCTAACTAATTAATATGCTAAGTGGTAGATGTGTATATTATGTTGTGCAATAACGCCTAAAACCCATACATACAATGCTGTTCTCTGAAGCAACAAATATACGATATCGCCACTGAAAGACACTTTCTGAATTGACAAATGATCCAATGACCTATGTGAGTGTCCGATGGAATCTCTTAACTGACTTTGGTTAAATGTATAACAGTTATAAAATCTAATTCATATTACGTCTGTGCATTGAGATTTGTTTCGGTGGATGTTATATATATATATTTTATAAAGTATATATATCTATTATATGATATCAGCTATTACCTCAGTAGAAAATAACATTTAATCCGTTTTTAAAGCATTCGTTTTTTCTTTTCCTTGGTTTTCGAAAATTAAATTTTCATTAGAGCGCACACAAAACTGGTTTTATAATTCGATAAAAATTTGTCGTTAAACCTTTTGGGGAGGAAATATATATATATATATATATCTAGGGGATGTAGCACGGATTAAAGCCTTTGAGGCTCCTCATTAGAAGCCCTTTTCTTTAGGCTCATAGCAAAAGCGAATCGGCAGACCGTACGTAAGATAGGTAATTCAACTATATAAAGGCTACATTGGGAAACAATCGGTTATAAACAATATCTATATATATATATGTGAATTTGTTATCAATTATTTAGTACCAAGTCTACGTAATAGGAAAAATGCCTAAAGTAATTGCCTTATGTACGCTTAAAAATTACTGTAATGCACCAAGAGATTTCACTTTCAGTTTTATCAGCGCTATAAATATATCCATATCCATATCCATATCATATCAGTATCCAATTACAATCATTCAGATCAACACATATACGCGCACTTGTTTATAATAAGTACAGGCCGACGACATAAAGTATGAGATACCTAGTCCAACATTCATATTCGAATTATTTGCTATGCACTTTACGAATATCTATCTATATCCTTTTGTGTGTGAGTCCCGAGATCCGTCTTAGGTCTGTTGTATTGAGCTCAAAAATGCAGGATCCACTGAGGCCACCTTGGCCGTAAGGAAGGCATGCATGCAGAAGAGCAGGCTCTGCAGGACTTGACATTCCAGTTCCTTTAAATGAGTTAAGAAACTGGATTAAGGTTCCAATAAAGTCAAGGTAGTTCTACTTACCTTCGTCTCTATAGCCCGACTATCATGATCCTGAAAATGCAGCTTCAGCTTCGACTTGCCATCGTCACTGGAGCCCCTCAGTTGTGAGAATTTATATTGCCAAACAATGGCCGAGTCGGCACCTTCGGCCAGAGAAAATCCTGCCTGCCAATCCAATGTGAGTCCACCACTCTTGCCATGATGCGAAACGGCAAATGTTTTGCGCTAAGAATGAGATTGAATTGAGTCACCTGTATGTTATGGCTTAATGGCTTCAACTCACGCCCAATTTAATAACACTGGTCACGATAGCCGCATTCCAGCTATTCTCGATCCTCAGGAGTTCCTGTCGGGTTTCCACACTTAAGTAGCGCGGTTCGTGGCCAGAACTTTGGAGCAGAAAGCAATGCTGGCGGCTATCCACAGTCTCCGATTCCTTGACAATACGGAACATGGTTTGGTACACCTTATAGACGACCAAGGCCTTGCTAATGCCAGCCACATTGAGCTATAAATAAAAAAAAGAAATACTTAAGTAAATTTGATGAGTTTTAGGTATTTCCCAACTTACTGGCGGCGTTTCAAAGAGCATCACTTCGGTTCCCTTGAGCAGTAGAAATCGTGGCTTATAACTCTGCCAAGATATATTGTTATTAATCACTCCCTCATTCACCCAACCCATGTATTCGATCCGCTCGCCCACCGCAAAGTTTCTGTTGTACAGCTTCATCTATGGAGGATAAAAATTTGTTTTTAAGAGGACAATATATCTAATTTTAGGAGAAGTTTTTACCTGTAAGTGCGTTAAGCCCACCACATTATCTGTTATCAACTTAAGCCACTGACTAAGTATGGCCAGTTCATCGCAGTGTATGACTCCTGTGGTAATTCCGTTTAAGCCACGAACTTCAAAGGCATTTTGTCGCAACTTATCGGTGCCATAAATGTATCTCGTCACATAGGCCATCATAAGAGGTACTGAAAGATAAGAAATATTATTAATAAATGCAGATATTAATTCTAGGAAATGTTGTATTAAATAACTAAGAAAAGAAATCAGAAGAAATCATGTCAAAATTATAAATTAATCTCCAACGAACCACTTGAAAATTACACTAAAATTACTGGTTTTCTTGTATATTTCGAAATTTATTATTATGTTAAATTGTTAATAACAAATCTCCCTTTACCTGCCACCACATCGGTCCATCGCTTTTCGGGCTCTGAGCATATAGACATGGGACGACTGCAGCTACGACTAATGGTTCCACTATTCACAGAGGACTTGTAGCCCTCATCGGCCTTCAGTTCAGCACACGTAGCATCGTTGTCAGAGTCGGGCGTGTCTTTGGTTACTAAAATTAACGCACAAAAAAACAAAACAAAAGCAATGTTAATTAAATATTTATGCTTGGAGGTATTAACTCACATTGCTTTTGAAGGAAGGGTGTGGCAGCTCGATAGTGCTTCACTGTCAGCACAACAATATCTCCGGCATTTCTTAGTATATTCACCGCATCGTCATGGGGACAGGCTGTGATGTACTCTCCATTAACCTTGATAATGGCATCGCCCACAAACAGTTGACCCGTGATATCTGCAGCCTGATCCTTATAGATTCGTGATATTAATATTGGTAGCTTGTGTTCAGCTCCACCTTTTATGCTCAGTCCAAGGCCGCCTTGTTTTTGGCGCGTAATTTGAACCATGCGTTCCTATATTAAATTGATTATTAAGATCTGTATAATTATAATATCTAATTTCATATATTACCTTTGATTCCATGGGCGGTCCATTGGGATTACAACTGGTGGGGGTTACCACTTCCAGTTTCTGCAGAGAAAGCAACTCCATGGTAAGATTGAGACGCAGTGGCTCGGGTCTGCTCTTGCCATCGCTCACATGGACCATGCCAGTGCGCACCTGTAAGATATATTTTTATTCCAATAGTATCTAAAGACTTTGCTTATATTTTTAGCTTACCTTTAGGTTTTGATCCAGTTTTTCTTCTATTGGCGTGGCCATGGTGTCAGAGAGCTTCATTATTCCTAAATCATTCAAAATAGGGAATTAAGAAGGTGATTTATGATGGCAGGTAGCTTATATTGTAGAGTTTATATTACAAATGGGATTTCAAAGATGAAATATGATTTGAGGTGGAGAGGGAGAGATTCATATTAGGAACACCAACTTTATGTTATATTAGAACAAACAAAAATCTAATAATATCTATTTGCTGAAGATTAAAGACAGAGATTTGTTTGTAAACATATTAAAAATATACTTTAAATGGAATAAATTAAAATGTAATATAAGGAACATTTAAAAGTCTTTCGTTCGACTCTCTCTCGTGTTTGTAATAATCGTTTTGGTTTTATAAAAACTTTCTTTTCACATAACGTAAGTGACATTTTTTTAGGCAAGCTTTACCCCTTAAATATGTTGATTTGATTGATTTCCCCGGAATGAATAATTTAGTGTGAAACGAGTAAAGGCCATGTTAAAAAGGTTGGCAATGTTGCCTGACTTGCGGCAATAAAGTGAGGGCTACCCTTGTTAACCTACCCGACGATGGCCGCCAATCAAGTTGGAGGAGAAGTCCCCTTCACAGAGAGACCTCATCCTCCTGCTCCTGCTCCTCTCATTGTTGTTACTGTTACCACAAGGTATATATTGTGGCCATGGCAATGAGCCGTGAAGCAAGTGCAATCAAATCGCAGCTCCAGCTCCGGTTGCCTTTATCGATTGCCAATTTCCACGTAACAGATACATTCACTTCGAGACAGCAGAAAGCAACGCAATTGCAATCATTGGCGGTGGGATGGATATTGAATTACGTTTGCACACTGGGGCCACCCACCCACCGCTGATGAGCCACGGGCGGCGGTTCAAGGTGAGCCTTGCAATTGCCTTAATTAAATTACACATGCAATTAGAAACAATTAAGCGCGCGGCAATGTGTAATGGAAATCTTGCAGATCGAAGCGATCTCTGTGTGCATATTCTGGGAAAGCCCGGCGTGGCGGCATATGTTTTCCATTAAAGTGGAAAATAAATATGCTACCGGAAAACCAGATATGAGTGAAAACACATTGAAGTGCGCGGCGTTCCCCTTCTTCTGTCGATTTGTTTTGTGGTGTGGAGTGTGCTGAGTGCCAAAGTGTGGCCGCAACTGTTCGTGAGGAACGGGGGACCAGGAATATGAACGCGTATTTCGGATAACCACTTGTGCTCCATAAATAGGTGTTGCTCCCAGTGGAATCGAAGGGGAGGAATACGAGTGGAAGGAGGAGCGTCTTTGAGCGCCAAATATGTACATATGGTGCCTGCCGGCCGTCTGAAATTGAGAAATTCGCCATATAACTGAGGGGGAGGTCCTCTACCTCTCACTTTCACTTTATTTGTTAACTTTGAATTGGATACAACAGAAGATGCAGTGGGAAATATTTGCAAAATATAAATATAGTTAATTTTTCATAAGTAATTAATCTATGAATAAAATATTTATATATATTTGTCATTATATACATTCTTTGAAGGGAGATGCTTTATAGCTTTGAAACTGATTTTCAGAGGATTTGTGTCAAAAGAAAATACGTTCGAAGTTAATAATGGTTGCCAACCTTAAAAATACGAATTTAATTGGAAGCTATAGGGAATTCTTAACTTTTTGATGAAAACTTGTCAGGAATTGGCTGAAGAGAGTTTAAAAAGGTAAATGTTATTATAATTGATAAGAATCATATACCATTCCCTTAAAGAGGACTCAAATATAAACAAAAGACTTCTTAATAAACAATATAATAGCCTATTTATCTATTATATTTATTTGTTACAATTTATGAACCAAATTAGTAGGAAATTTATGAAAATGTTCGTGCCTTATAGAAGGATCTTTGCATAAATATTCTTTCAGTGTAGTACTATGAAATGTTTGTTTTAAATTTCGCGAGCATTGCAACTTTATACCAAATCCCCTTTTGGCCGGGCGCGCGTGTCATGGCAGCCAGAGAATGGTCATTTGGCGGACCATCAGGGGGAACACGCATACGCTCCGTTGTCCCGGGTTACCTTTGATTATGGCTTTATTACGTGTGCACGCTGCGCTGCGTGCTCCGGAGTCGTAGGACCGTAAAGTTGAGTTCTCCCCGGTCCCCTCTCTCCCACTCTCACACACACACACGGGAGAAAGGAGGAGCGGGAACAGGATTTACTGAGCTTCAAACCAAACAAGCCAACATGTTCGGCTCAAGGGTTTTCGCCAATCAGCTGTGCCTCGGAAAAAGAGCAGCAGCAGCGGCAGCAGAAACAGAAGCCTTTCGGGCTGTTTGCCTGAAGTTTCAGCGATTGAACTTTTTGCTTTTTTTGTGCAGCTTTGCCACAGCAAGTAAAACAAACACACGCACACCCAAACACTTGACACGCACACACACACACTCGGAGAGAGAGAGACACACTCGCATAACCGATACTTTTTGCCCGAGGGCAGAAATGTTGATTATTAATTTATGTGTGTTTGCTAAACAACTTCACCGCGCCCACAATATCGGTTTAGGGATTACCTCCTTTTATTGACGGATGTACTTAGGCTCGGCACATATATGTATGATGTGTGCTATGTATATATATATACATATATATGGACATATAACTGGCACAATATCGTTTTTCGTTCTTTCCAATTGGGTCACATTTTCACAGTTCACAGTTCACAGTTCCGCTTGCTGTCCTGGGCTTGAACTCGCGACTCGGCCAAATCGCAGCTCATAAAAGTATGCTAACTTTCCGTTCTGTTTGTCACACTTTTGCCCACTTCACCGTTAATGCATATATATATATATGTTTATATATATATATAAGTATAAATTTGGTTGGCTGTACTGTCTGAACGGAGTGAGGTCCTTTGAGTTCCAGAAAACAACGTTCCCAAAGCCAGAGCGCGAGCGAACTGAGAAAACACACCGCTCACCAGGCAGCTTTGTGCAGCCTGCAGGCCATATGTTTTGTTTATCGTAGAGTTGCCCCGATTCTGGGGGTTAGCTATAGTCAGCAAGCTTTCGAAGTTTGTGGCACAGCTTTGGGGGCAACTTTGGTGTGGAACCAAAGCTCTGGGATGTGTATTTTACTCGAGAGTTCTAGGTGGCGTTACAGTTAAATTCTCTGTGACGATATTAGTTCGCACAACAGGCGTATACGTGATGTGTGGCGGTAAATTTATTTACTAAATGTGTAAAAATATTTTTAATTATTTTTCACTCAGAAACATATGTATTTATTTATTTATTCTGATAAGGAATATATTAAAGAACTTTTTAACTAACGTTTACTCAATTTGTAAAGGCAAAGCCATTGGGAAACTAAGCAGAATTTAAGTTTTTATAAAGTAAATCATATTTGATCAATATTTATGGGTTTTTCAATTACATTTTTAAGGTGGCAAAGATGCCTTTTTAAATAAATATTAATATAGAAAAATAATTCGTTTTGAAATTTTAGAAAGAAATTTAAGAAGAAATCAAGAACTCTTTTAAAGTATATTATTCAACCACTTAAAATCAAGTTAAAATATAAATCTCTAAAAACCACAGGCTTTTAACAACTCCCTGTATATCCAAAATAAAAAACCAACATTTTTTAGCTCAATTATGATATATTTACAAAAAATTCCCTTGTATCAGGATATTGAAAGCACTACTTCCTACCCCAAAGGTATAATTTGTATCAATACAATACCTGAACCATTACATATCAAATAAATAATTTCATAAACAAAAAAAGTATACCATAAATTGCAGGAAATGGTTGCCGAAAATTGAATAATTCCCAAGAGTCCTGGTAGCTGGTATCTGTTGCTCCTCCATCGGCAAAGGAGCCCATATTGAGTCCCATTTTCCCATGCAAGTCGAACGAAATGCTCGTTAAATGTTAATTAGAACGCTGAATCAGCGGCGTTAGCTCATTAAAAGTTTTGCGCTCCCATTTTTGTTGTGATTGTTAACCAGAATAGGGCCAAGTTCCTTGTGTTTTTTTGTTTTTTGGCCCCAACCACCCTTCGCTCGGCTCAGTGATAAGCCCACGAATAAGTGGCATTCGAACACAATGGATGGTGTGGGGGAAGGCAAAGTTAATTAATGTATTAGCCAAGGTGAAGCTCCCTCTGGCAGGTGAGAAGGAAAATCAGGTTAATACTCAAGAATGAGGTAGATTTTGCTGAATAAATTAAAATAATACCAGTTAAGTCGAAATAAAGCCATCATAACAATGAATGTGAAAATTTCAAATGTTTATTTACACATACTTCCTGAGTATTGTTTTTTTTTTTGTTTTCCTTTACATTTAATGGAAATCTTGTGGAGAACGGAAGTTCCTTAGCCAAAAATAAAAAATAATGCAAAAGCAATTTGTGAAAGTACATTTATAATGGAAGCTATGTCAATGTGATCTGTGAAAAATAATTTAGATTAGTAATTGTTATAAAAAATTTGGAAACCAAAGACCTACCTTGTGTCAAGCGCTGTTCTCCGTTGTTGAATATTTGGACTTGTCCTATGGATGTCGTGGAACTCGAACAGCTTAAACAATGTGCAGATGCCATAGTATATTTTTCTGTGGAATATTTAAATTTCAGGGATCAAAATAAAGCAAAAAATACAACTCTTATCCAAAATTCGACAAATTAAAGACCTACCTTTTTTATGTTATGGGAACAACTATTAATCATCATATTATAACTTTTTGACTTTTCCAATTTTATCACAGGCTTGGTATCATTTTCTGTAAGAATATAACAATTTTAAATTATTTAAAAGGTAGTCATCATTTTTATCGGAATAAACAATTTTTCAAAGAAAACAACTTGTATATAGTTACCTTTTTTTATCAGCTGCTGTTTATTTTTCATTTGAAGGTCTTGATTGCATCGCCAATGTGCCGATCGAGTATTATATTTTTCTGTGAAATATTTAAATTAAATATTAAATATAATTATTAAAAAAATATATATATTTAATTTAAATAAATCAAAAAAATCCAACTCTTATCCAAAATTCGACAAATTAAAGACCTATGTACCTTTTTTTATGTAATGGGAACAACTATTAATCGGCATAGTATAACTTTGTTTTGACTTTTCCAATTTTATCACAGGCTTGGTATCATTTTCTGTAAGGATATAACAATTTTAAATTATTTAAAAGGTAGTCATCATTTTAATCGGAATAAACAATTTTTCAAAGATATGAACTTGTATATAGTTACCTTTTTTTATCAGCTGCTGTTCATTCTTCAGTAGAAGGACTTGATTGCCTGGCAGAGTCGGCTCAGTAGAGTTACGATTATGATGTATCTCGATGTTTCTGTATTTAATTGGATTTATGTAAGAAGGTTGGTAGTTATTGGTATATTTAATAAAAGAAGCTTTTTGTATTTATTTAAACCCTTGCAGGGCATTCTTATTTTAGGCAGATGTTTCAAAAACACAGTGAAGGAGTCATTTATTCCTAATTAGCATTAACAGCCGAAATAATATTGTAATGATGCCTCTGTCATTCCCTCTCTCTTTCTCTCTCTCTCTCTCTCTCTCTCTTTCTCTCTCTTTCTCTCTCTCTCTCTCTCTCTCTCTCTCTCTTTATATCTATGTGTATCTCTCTCTGTCTCTTTAAATACATCTATCTCTGCATACCTGTAGAGGTATCTCGTTCTCTCTCGCGCTCTTGCTCTAACTTTCTCTGCTCTCTTTACTCGGTGCCTATAAATAGAGGCACTGCCGTCGCACTGGCCTCAGTTTATCCCCTGGCCTCCCGCTGTGTACATCAATGGTGATAGTAGCAGATAGTAATTGCCCTTCGACCCCAAAAACATCACCTGACCAATGCAATACATATGGCTACCTGTCAAGGGTATGCAAACCTCGGCTTCCCGATGTTTGCTTTCATTTTTGTCTTAAATTGTTTTACCTTTGACGACGTTGAATCCTAGACGGCGAAGGATCCACAGCTGGACTAGTTGAGTAAAGTAAACGCTGACGTCGCGGTATGGTAAAGGAAAATCCTGGGCGACTAGAGTTTTCCGGATGCAGTCCAATGAGGTGATTAACCCTAGTACTAGATGAAATGCCTCCGGGCCGCAAGAGAGATTCCAGATTGATTGTATCAGAACGTTGATTGCTCTGATATCCATAAAGGACATTGTTGCGGCGTCCTAGTAGAAATTTACGGTTTGAAATCTTGCCCATTGTCGTATAATCAAGTTAAGAAATAAAAAAGTTTTTCTTTAGAATGACAAGTAGTGAAAGAGAAAAAATGAATGACCAAAGGTGTCACAATTATGACTTTTGATAAAAAAAATCGAATCAAATGACAGAAGTAATTATCGTTAAATGATTTTGTTTATATCGATAGTAATCTATCGCATATATTTCATATACATATTCTCTGGAATGATTCACCTGTTTAATACATAATATTTTAAACTTATTTAACTTTTGGTAACACTAATTTCGACTTGTTGACGTATTTCTGCTGCTTTTTAGCGCTTTTGAAGTTGATTGCGATAAGGACTTTGCCCGGACAGGTGCACTAGGACTAGGAGGGGGGTTGACCCTCGAGGACCATTCCCCCTGGCTGTCAGTGCCACTCAGCGCAATCAGTTGGGGATTTGAGACATTGGCGGCGATGGCAACTAGAATAAGGAAGAGCTACTAGAGGAGCCAGGAGCTATAGCAGATCCCAGGAACAACAGCAGCAGCCACAACAACATCGTCGTCGTCGTCGTCGTAGTCGTTGGCATTATTGACAAAAGTTTTCCGTTTGTTTTCGGCGCTTTTCCACAATCCTCCATCTCAGTCTCTTGCTCTGCGGTTGCGGGAAAAAGGGCAGCTTCAGCTTCAGCGGGAGCCACATTTTTGTTAGCTGATTGAAATTAGTTGATGCATAAAAAAGTTTGTTTGCTAACAATTCCGTTCGAAAATATTTCGGTTCTAAAGTAAAATTATGACTGCTTTGCATATTTTTCGGTTACCAATGTAAAACTTTAGAAGCTACGGCAACGGACGCGTCCCAACTTATTGGCATTGGCAAATGTTGGGAATTTATGGCCTGTGCAAATGTTGGTTTGCCATTCACAATTTTTGCCAAGAGTTTGCCTTCGTTTTCTTTTTTTTTTTTTTGTAAAATATCCTGCATTCGCCTGAATTCCTGTAATTGCATTAGTTCCTCGCTTGTTGATTTGGCCAAAAACCGATTACATTTTGTTTTATTTTAAAAGCCCCAATCCAAAATCAAGGAGCCAACTCGTGTAATTGAATAATTATGTTATTGTGTGGCTCGATGAACTCGAGAGATTTCCGTCTGACAGCTGCCACGAAGCAGCAGGATCTGCTAGTTACAGGATACACGCACGATGCACAAGACACAAGGAGCCGCAAGGATGTTCACTCTACCAGCGGCGGCAGACTAACACAAAAACTTAATTAAGCCTGATTCTGGTCTTAGCACCTACGAAGCATTAGCAAATCAATTGAGTTTGAGCTAAAGGAAGAGGTCTAGACTTGTGCACTGTGAAATATTGTTTAAATAAATATTTATATTATAGGAAAATGCTTAATTAAATATGGATATTATTTAACCTGAAAATGATGCTTGGTTTCAGGAACTAATGCATTGAAATTAACTTAAAATGTGTCATTTGTAGATATATTCTATTAAGATCCTAGTCGTGGTTAGCCTCTTATTTATATATACTAAAAATAGTTATTTCTTTAGTTTTTATTCCGTGTGCGTGCATATATAGCATATATTCCGTTTGATTGGATGGTTGTCACCTACAGGATAACCCATTTTAATGCACTTTCACACTCTGCAGCGCCACGGGATGAGCTCTTCTGCGGCGGTATAAGCTGAGTAAGCAAACAAATCGCGCATAGCCTGCGGGGGAAAAATATGAGACTAAGGAGGAGGACCGACTCCCTAGCCGAGGATCCCTGGGAATCCAATCCAGTTGGGGGCCGATGCAGACCACGCATGCAACATGCCAGCGACAACTTCCGTTCTTTCTCCGGTTTCTGCGAAAATATACGTGTTTTTTTTTATGCTCGTAGCCGAGATTCACGGCACGGAAAATGCTTTCAATTTAGCAACGAGCACGATTCGGTCGAATGCATGGCAATCAAAATGCGGTTAGTTGCGTGTGGCAGCAGCAGTGGCAGCAAAATAAGGGGCGGGTTTGCATGGAGGCGGCGGCAGTGCCACAACAACCGCGGTAACAACGCTGACAACACAATGACAACAACAGCAAATTGCGAAAAAAATGACAATTGTCAACAATTTTAATTTTCATATGCACGCAATACAACGGCAACGACAACTTCAGCAGGACAACAAGGATTAACATACGCCCCCCCCTCCCCAACCGGAAATGCACTCGCATACAGGCTCACGAATTGAGTTTTGTGTGTGTGTCTGCGTGTGTTTGAGTTTGCGGCCGGCAGTTTGTTTGCATTTGTATTGCTAATAAAGAGGGGATGTACAGCCTATATGCCACGCCCCCCCCCACTCCCGCACAGTTGCGGTTGAAATATTGTTAAGACAGGTCCTTGGCAAAAAAAAATATCTATATATGGAAAATCCTAGGGGGTCACAGTTTCTGTGCCAACGAATTGAATGCCTTTTAAAATGCCCTCAAAAGTATGCTATGGTGAACTTTATTCACAGCTGTCACAGACTATCCCAGCAAACCAAAACTATCAAATTGATCGCCCGCGACATCACTTTCTGATCTTCCGTCGGGAGAAAATGGGACACGAAAGCGACTCCTCTAAAGGAGGCGCAGGCGATTCTTCTAGAAGAGTCGCAGAAGAGTCTTCCAGAAGAGTCGCCAGAACTAGCTTAGAAGAGTCCCTGCAAACAATTTGGCGATCGCCAGGCGATTCTTCTAGGCGACTCTTCTAGGCGATCATAGATCGCGATTCTGATCTGATGGGGCACGATTCTAATCGTAGGCGATTCTTCAGAAGAGTCGCCAGAACTAGCAGTCCCTGCAAACAATTTGGCGATTGTTGAATCGCCAGGCGATTCTTCTAGGCGACTCTTCTAGGCGATCAAATTGATCGCCCGCGATTCATTTCGCACGAAAGCGACTCTAATCGCGCAGGCGATTCTTCAGTCGCAGAAGAATTTCCATAAGAAGCAGAACAATTTGGCGATCGTTGATCGCCAGGCGATCATTTGGCGATGCTTTATTATTTCTTGGACTTGGCGATCGCCAACTGCCAACACCTAAGTAATCAGCAGTCCCTGCAAACTATGTGGCGATCATTCTTCATTGGCGATCGCCAACTGCCAACTACCTCAGTCCCTGCTGATCGTTGAATCGCCAGGCGATCATTATTCTATTATTTCTTGGACTTGGCGATCGCCAACTGCCAACTACCTTAAAAGTAGTTGCAGTCCCTGCAAACAATGTGGCGATCATTCGGCGATGCTATTATTCATTTGATGTTTTGAAAGTCGCCAAAGATCAATCTTGGAGTCAGTCTTGGACTCTTGGCGATCGCCAACTGCCAACTTGACGCTGTCCCTGCAAACAATTGTTGAATCGCCAGGCGTTATTTATTTCCTTGATTGATTATTTCGCCAAATGATCGCCTGGAAGATCATTCCATGGAATGGCGATTTTTGGACTCTTCTTGGCGATCGCCAAATGCTACCTTCTTGGCGAGCGGCGATTCAACAATCGCCAAAGTGTTTCAGAGTGTAGTTTCTTAAGCTAAAAGCTATGAAAATATTCAATGAAATAAATATGGTTCATTTAAGGTTCTATAACCCTCAAAGATCCTAAATAAAATCCTTTCCTTTCCAATAATTTCATCGTCGCAAAAAGTCCTCCAGTAATCGCTACCGCGACTCTCAGAAGACACTTCTTGGCGAGCGGCGATTCAACAATCGCCACATTGTTTGTAGGGATAGTTTGTTAATATATTATTTATTATTATTATTAAAATGAATTAAAACGCTTTCAGAGTGTAGTTTCTTAAGCTAAAAGCTATGAAAATTTGCAATGAAATAAATATGGTTTATTTAAGGTTCTATAACCCCCAAAGATCCTAAATAAAATCCTTTCAAAGTCTTCCAATAATTTCATATAATTATTCTTAAAATTCCCACTCACTATCACAATTTAACAAATTAAAAGTGCTTGCAATTCAATTACTAGTCCAGCTGACTGCATTCAGTCTTGGAAAGCATTAATTAAATATTCCCACTTTACTCTCCTTTGGACACTTGACCCTCGCTGGCGCTGATTTACGATCTATAGAAATAGTTGGCCGTAATAAGCACTGGGCAAAAAGGTTATTATTATTACAGCAGGCATCCATCGCCAATTGATTTACGCACTTTGCCATTAAATATCATTTTGGGCTTCCCGCTTTGCTCGCTTTTCCCGCTTTTCTCTGCCATTCCCCAGCAAAGCTTATAAATTAATTAAAAATCAGTATAAATACATAAATCAATTACCCGCCTCAATGAGACGAGCGAGGCACTCTTTGGTGCCAGCTTTGGCGCTGGGAAATTACTTGGCAGCTGCAATGACAAGAGGTCTGTGTGAGCCAGGGCACCAGGGAGGGGAGGGGAGTGAAGGAAGCAGAAGGATGCAGAAGGACGAACGAAACAGGATGAGAAGGAGCGAAGCGATAAAAACGGCAACATGGCGTTCAAAGTGCACAAAATGGCGGTAATTCGCGCTTTGTTGCTGCGCGGCCAAAACGCTTCAATGGCTAAAGCGCACAAGGAAAAATAATTATTAATACATATATGAACTTAAATTTTGAAACAAATTTGCCATAACTTAAAAATAAGAACAAGATAGAGTAAATATATGTTGTACTTTATTAAGAACTCTAGTTATACAAGCTGATTTTGAGGCTTACTTCCTTCAATTAGAAAAATTCTTTCAAGATATTTTGATATGCACTATTTTTTTGAATATAAATAATTTCTGGAATATTTTTCTTGCCGTGTAAGCGCCTACACAACAGCAACAACGACAGGCATAACCGCAACAGGAGCGCGAAAAAGAAAAGCGAACTAAGGCAAAAAAAAAAAAATGGCTAAAAGGCAAACAAGGACGCTGCTAATAAGAGCAAGAGGACGCTGGGAAAAGTGGGTGTGGCAGCTGGGCAAAATGCTGCCATTGCAACGCCGAAGAAAATATATTGTTCAGCTTAATTTCTTCCTCGCACTTGCACTTGCACTTCTACTTCTACTTCTACTACCATCCAGGCTAAACTTTGTTCGAGGGCAAGAAAAGCGTGAATTGTTCATAAA